AAACACCAAGAACAGGGTACACATAAAGCTCACTCCTGTGAAGTTAAAACAAGAATGTGGTGCGTCCTGCGCTCTACGAAGGACAAAATCCCATAGGGCACTCTGTTCTCGGTGCTAAATTATAACAGCGTCGTGGAGATTACATCACACCTCAAAGCTGGCCCATAGCACTTCGTCCCTCCCGCATGTATGACCCCGCATATATGATTTTGAACAAAAATGTGTTTACTGATAAGCCTCCACTTCTGGATGATGATGCGAAAATCAAACTTGACGATAAGGTGAGTGAAAGGGCATTATAGTATAGGGTTTTCGCAATTCTAAAATGTCATTTGGGGGTCAGGAGTAGTAAAAGATTTGAAAACCGTTTGGAGAAATACAGAGAGAAACACTTCATTAGCGCTATACTCGGTGAGATTTCTGATTCTGAAAATGTAAACATATAGAGAAGTCTGCTTTTGGAATCGAGAGACCGTAGTACGCACGAGCTTGCTTTCTCTGATGTCTGCTAATGTCCTATTCTTGAATTTGATTGACCTCTCTCTCATCCCGCGTATAACAGCCGCCTCCTTCTTGACAGTAGTTAGAATTTTCCAACTACATTTAACTCCAATTCTTAGGCTCAGATGATACAAGAACCGCTGGGTGACCGTCAGTCTTCTCACGCCGAGATCCGCTTCCATGCTTTCATTGGCTGTTGCTCTTCCGGACCCGCCCCCAAGGACCTTAATTCTGATTGGGCATCGAGGCCCTTTTGTTATGGCAAAGGTGGATCAGGGCGCGCTAGCGGCGGGCAGCTAATGCGCAGGCGTACAGCTTTGGTTTTTGATTGGTGGGTAATGGGGCGGGGCGGGCTTCCTCGCTCGGCGCACGCTCCGTGGTCAGAGAGGGCGTGTCTGCTGGTGTCAGTTGGTCAGAGGCGTCCGAAGCTGAGGCATCAGCTGGGTCATCCCATACCTACCCGGCCCCTCAGGCTAAAGGTGAGGTCCAGTCTGGGCGCAGAAGGACCTACCTGGTGCTTGGGGTAGTCGGCGAGGGTTTGACGGGCGAGGCTGGCTGGACGCGGCCCGGCGTTCCGGCTGAGCGTCAGGTGGGGGGCTGAGGCCTGACCGCCTGCAGCATCCCTGCGCATCCTTTCTCTCCTGGCCTCGCGACCAAGCCCAGGGGTTCCTCCGGCGGGGCTGCCGGCGGGGCCCGAAGGAAAGGGGAATGCGCGGTGTCCCCAGCGCTCGGACGCGCACCAGGCCTTTCCTCTTGCCGGAGTGGGACGTGGGGCGGCATGGGTGGGATAGGATCACAGCCGGTACTCGGCCTCCGCCGGAGCCGGGATGGTGAGGGAGGCCAGGAAGCGGGGGAAGGAGGAATGGGGCATCTTCCTGGAGCTGGAACCAGGAACTGCGTTTGTTTCTGCGCCAGTTTCTCAAGAGCCCTGCTAAACGATTTTAGGGGAGTAAGGTTTGGAAAGGAGAAAGAACATGCAATCCTGAAAGGCGACTATACATTTGTTATACAGTGTGTCTTGTCTCAGACTGATGTCGCAGTATTAAGGATGGACGTGACCCCAACATCTTACTATTTATTCCTGAGCATCCAAAGTGATGCCTAGGAATCCTGGTACCTTTGCTGCTTTCACGAAACTTGCTGCTGGCCTTCACTCCTTGAGGAATTAGTTCAAGTTTAAATTCTTAAACAGTTCCTTGGTTTTGTGGAATTTTAAACTGGAATTACGTGCCTAACTTAAATGAACCAAAGTGGAATTTAAACAACTCCAAACAACCACGTTAACGTTGATGCAGTTTAAAGCGAGTGAAATTTATCTTCAGTTGCTTAGTAGAACCAAAGAAGTTTGATATAAGGTGTTGCAAAATATTTGCCAGACTTAAAAATTAGGGCCATAATTAAGTGGGGTGTTTTATTTGTTGGGAGGTTTTGTTCTTGCATAGTAGAAAAACCGGGCCATACAGATAGATGTGGATTCAAATTATTGATACATTGGCTGTGAAAGGTAAGGCAAAATGCATAGTCTTTCTGATATTTAATACCCACTTTTGTAAACTGCAGGTTCCTTGTTGATATAAAATAATACATGTAAGATTTTTGCAGTCTTACAAGCACCTCAGTAAGTAGACAACAGATAATTAAAATCAGTTTTAGACACAGAAAAGTTGAGTGGTTGAGGGAGGACTGAGGTAGGAGAATCCTTTTGGTGGAATAGTGGAAAAAACCCAGAATGGGCCACTGTTTTAGTCTCGACTCTGGACCACTACTGTGATCCTAAGCCATTCTCATCTTTGGTGTTGGTTTATTTTTAAAATGAAACAGCCAGACCTAGTGGTTTCTCTGAAATTCTTTTTGTAACACAAAAAGGTAAACAATAGAGAATAGCTGTGTTTGTTTGAATACTTACAAGCACACATGTATAAATCCATTCATTTCTCACAACGAACCTCCGTTTACACCTGAGATCAGAGGCTGAGATTTAATCTTGCCCATGGTTCTGAGCTTATAAGTAGCAGAGCTAGGATTTGAGTGCAGGTAATGTAAGCCCATGTTCTTAATCATTGTGAAAACTCCTTGAGAAGAGATATCACAAGAGAAACAGAGATGTTTTGGGTAAGGTGACAGTCCTTGGTCACAATTCAGCGTGTGGGCATAGAAAAGAAATGTATCTTAGGGGCTGGAGATTTAGCTCAGCAGCATAAGCGCCTGCCTTGCAAGCAGGTAGTCGTGAGTTCGATCCCTAGTACCGATAAAAACGAAAAAGAAAAAAAAAATGTATCTTGTTCTGATGTTTGCCACATGATTCTTATTTTCTTTACACCTGTCTGCTTTCTAGATTTAAATGATCAAATATAATTCTAGATTCTCTTTTGCTAAAAAGGATAGATATAGCTAGGCATTAAAATTTACTATGATTTTTTAAGAAGTGTTTTAAAACCTGAACTCAGGAATCTCAGAGGACCATGTCCCTTTCAGATCTGAGGGAGGTTTAGGGGAGGCAGGATCCCAGATATTCATGGCAACAGCATTCCCACACTTGAGCTGCTTTGTCTGGATTTTCTTCATGTCAGATTTGCATTTATGTGACTAAGCAAAAGAAGCACATTTGACATCAAGTTGGATTGATGTGATATGTGCAATTCTAGATAAAAAGGACTATGTAGTTGAAAATCACAATCTTGAACACTAAGATTTCACTAGATCATGTTAGGATGCAGAAAGCGTTAATGTAGACACGATGCAGTTTGAGGATTGATTCTCTTTTGAAAGAAAATTTTTAACATAAATCAACAAACCCTTTGACCCCATATGTAAAATAAGTAACTTTATTATTTTAAATCTAATGAAATACTGAGAATATGTATAATAGCATTTTGAAGCACTTCTATCTCATCACATCACAGTAAAAGAAAAGTGTCACTTGTTGTGAAGAGGGGTGGGTAATGCGCTGGTCCACTTTATTAAAGGTAGTACCTGTCTGCAGAGCTGCATGTACAACATGCAGGTTTTGTATCATGTAGCCCTTGGGGTGCAGGCTCACATAGATTATGATGTCAGCAGTGCTCCCCTAGGCTGTGTGGTACCTGGAGCACTGTCCTGTGACACTGCTTTTGTGTTCCTCCTCTCTCCTCATTCTTTTTTTGTTTTTGAGACAAGGTCTTACAGTGCAGGTTGACCTCAGACTCACTTTGTAGCTCAGGTTGGCCTTGAAATCTTGGCAGTCCTCTTGCCTCAGCCTCCTGAGTGCTGGGATTATAGACGTGCACCCTCCTCAATATTGAATATGTTATATAAGCCCTCTTGACCCTCCTTTTCTGCTTTTTTTTTTTTTTTCAGAAACCAAACCATTGATAGATATTTCTTCCTTGTGATTGTGTGATTCTGTTTCTAGTATCTAGGCATCTTTGTTCCACAGTCTGGGTTCCACTGTTCAACATATGAAGATGTAAAGGCACCTTGAATATGCTAGGTATTTAGTAAATACTTGTGGACAAAAGGTCTAGATTGCTTAGCTAACAGAGCTCTTTTCAGTAATATTCCAGTAAAATTTAATAAACTTTGAGCACTTAATGTGAAATGACTGTTAAAAATAGAGCAGAACTTTTTCATAGGAATTTTGTTCTCTAAATTTTGGAGCCTTTTATTGCAATAGTACAGTGTTTATGTATATTTACTTATCTTTGTCCGGATTAATCTGTTTTGATTTAAGAATAACTACATGAGAAGTGGACATTTTAAATTTATTCTGTTAGTGATTCAGAATACTTAGTGTTTTCTTTTGAATTTTATGCATAAAAATTAAACATGAATACTGAAGATTTTGAGAAAGATTTCTTTCCTACCGTCATCCCTAATATGCTGTGTTCTCTTCGTTTTTATTATTTCACATAATTTACATCAATAAACATATAATTTTGTAAATAGTCTCCCATGTTATTAGAGTAACCATAATTATTTTTAAAAGGCACTCCATTATAAATTGCAACTGTGATTTATCACAGTGAATGGACAGTTACATTGTCTCTGATTTACTGGTTTGTTAAGTTTGAAGAATTAATATATTCTTATGTTTTATCTTCTTTGTAATTGTCCTTAGGCTAAATTCCTAGGGTAAAATAGTAAGGAGGATTTTAAATGTTTTTACAAAACATTTTTATTATTGTACTACTTTCTAAAAAGGATACATATTAATATTTGTGCATTTGTTTTTCTATAACGCTTTGCTAGCATTTGATCATCTTTTAAAAACAGTGGAATAAATTTATAGTATTATTTAATTTTATGTGATATTTGGATTACCAAGAAGCCCTTGGTATACTCCTCTTTGTAAACTGTACTGTTGTACCCTTTGCTTATTTTTTCTATGGGTATTTTTTTCTTTGGAAAAGCAAAGCACATGGAAAGAGTTCTAGGTCACATAATTTCACTGAATCTTCATTTGCAAAATGGGCTTCTATGCTGTCACCATATGTGCCTGTGTTTCTTTTACTTTTTTGCAGGCCATACGTCAAGAATTTTGTATCCAAGGCCCGAAAGTTTGTACCCAAGGCCCAAGATGATGAATGCTGACATGGATGGTATACTCTTTATTTTCTTTTTTTGTGGACACTTTTGATTTATTAACAGTGCAAAATGCAGGGAAATAATCTTTGGAAGGTTTGGGTCTTGGCTCACTTATTTATAATCCTAAGTTTTAGAGAGGCTCTAAGGCATTTTTCATTCCTTATTTTTACCTTTGTGTCCTCATCAGCCATGTAGGGATATAATTTTATACTAAAGAGGGCTCTTGTATAAATCAATTAAGATAACATATAAAATGTTGTGGAGATTTTTAAGTACTACAGTACAAAAGTGGTGCCTAATGTTAATAGGTAAATTTGAACTTTTTCATTACAGCAGTTGATGCTGAAAATCAGGTGGAACTGGAGGAGAAAACACGACTTATTAATCAAGTGCTAGAACTCCAACACACACTTGAAGGTTAGCTTGCATTTTGCAGTTTTTATGAATGACATTCAGTTAACTGAAGTTGTAAACATTTATACTGCCAAATTTGTTAGTGTGTATAAAAGTCCATTTTCATAGTTTTTTTGTTTCATTTTCCTCCTGGTTTTAGGTTTGGTTGGTAGTTTTAAACAACAGATATAGTTCAGTAAGAAAGTCTAACATGGTACTGTGTGGTTCGAGGATTCTTTTCAAATCCTGGCAATGTGTAACTGAGCCTACTGTAATAAAGCTTATATCACAGTGGAAAAAGCATATTAACCTCAGAGATTAAAAGGGAATTGACCTGAGGTGTTTCTCCCCCCACCAAATGAAACTAATACTACAGCTGTGACATCTTTTCATGTTTAATAAAATTAAAAGGTTGGGTCTGTGGGGCATCGAGGTGAACAGTTCTGTCACTGAGAACCTTCCAGTAGCTTCCCATTGGGCAGAGCTGACAGCATGTGTGATTTGCACGGTCCCTTCAAGGTCGTGTCACACTCTACCTCTTGGACTGGTATCATAGACTGTTGGCCTCCCCTGTTCTTGCCCCATCCTGCCCACGCGCGCTTCCACTCATGAGGGATGGCTGTTGCCCCTGCTCCACGCTTCTCTCAGCTGCACAAATGACTTACTCTCTCACTCCCGAAAGGTCTGTGGTCAAGTTCTCCCTATCAGTATAGGAAAGAGCTTCTCCTTCTTGTGACCTTTACCCTTCCGACTTTCCCACAGTGCTTTTGCTCCCCCAGCTCTTCACCGTGACAGGCTGTCTGTCTGTCTACTTCCTATTTGCTCCTCTCCCCACGCTGCATCCCCTCGTGAATGCAGGCCAAACGCTCCTTTATTCTTTGAAGTTGCTTCTAAGACAGTGCCTGGCTCCTTGATTGCATTAAGTACGTAAATGAGGCTCATTTTCAGTTGATCATCAGAACCTGATCTTTTAAAATTTGCTGTTAGTATAAAAATAGAAAGTGATCAGTTGTTTGAAAACTGCCTGTTTATATCCAACATATGAATTCAATTGTGTTAATCTACTGCATATGTTAAACAGTTCAAAAGACTATTTTAAGGCATTTACATTTTTTAAAAATCTGTTTTCTTTGACCATTTTAAGGGTTAAATCACATAAATGCTATTATTCACAAAGAACAACATTGAGTCTAATGTAGAATTTCTTAGGAACTAGTATCTACTGATTTGCACTCTTTTTTTTTTTTAACTTAGTGGCCGCTAAAGTACTCTGACTTTAAAAACAGAAAATTTAAATTGTCATCTCTTTATTTTTGCAGACCTAAGTGATTTAACCCAGGGCCTTGTGTGTGTCAGCCAAGTGTACTGCCGCTGAGCTACATCCTCACCTACCTGCAGCCCTTCTTTTAAGAATGAATGTTAAATATTTTGTAATGTGGAATTATTGCCATCATTGTATTAATAATGGACATTTTATTTTTTATATAGATCTTTCTGCAAGAGTAGATGCAGTTAAGGAAGAAAATCTGAAGTTAAAATCTGAAAACCAAGTTCTTGGACAGTATATAGAAAACCTCATGTCTGCTTCTAGTGTTTTTCAGACAACTGACACAAAAAGCAAAAGAAAGTAAGGGATTGATATTTCCCTTGTTTGATGGAGTTGCTGCTGAATCTTTTCTTTAACACTTGGATAGATTTCGAAAGTTACAGTACTTTGTGGCTTCATTGAATATTTATGAAGATAATGTCAAACCTAGACAAAATTAACTGCATAACAGAAGACTTCCATGAATGTGTGTGTTAGTCTAAAAACGTGCAAATGTATTGTAGAGACTTTATAATTAGAATTGCATATATTTATGAAACTTGAAGATGTTTTATCGAATTTGCTTTGATATATAGGTTTAGTAATGTCTTTTATTATAGGCTTAGTAAGATATACAGGAAGTAACCACCATGTTGTGAAAAAGTGACCAAAATCATGTACTGAATGCACAGCTTTATGTACCGTGTCCACCATCTTGTGCCTCTTCTCCATTTGCCTCTTCCTTCCCATTTCCCTTCGCCTAAGGAAAAAAAATGGTTTCACATTTGTAAAGTTGCTTTGAATAGTTAATCATCTAAGAGTAACCTGAGTGCTAATTCTTGCAACTTAACCAAAATAAGATACTGTCTCAGTTAGGGCTTGTCATTTGTGATAGTAATAAGCTAGGATTGCTAGTTTCTCTTTAATCATTTAAAAACAGATTAAGTCTATGAAAGTGAAGATACTTCTTTAATACTGAATTTTCATATTGGGAAGGTTTGTTAAAAACTTCCTTTTGCACAAAATAACTCAGTTGATATGTGAAAAGATAGGGAAAATAGAAACAGGGTAGAAAATAACTCAATAAAAAGTATTAACCAACTCCAAATGTTTTCACTGGAAGTTTGTTTTCTTTGGCACAGAGTAATATGTCTGAAAGTGGATTAAGTTTGAATGGTTTTTGTAAGTCACATGTTAGTAGAGAAGCCAATTATGTCTCCAGATTTATTTGTAGCTCCTAGCAGATTAACTTTTGCAGAATTCTTTAAGAGAATGTATTAGTGTCAGAGTTATGGATAAGTGGGAAGATTTTACTCTGTGATAATTGCTATCACAGTATTTTCTCTCACTTGTTCTCCCAGAATTTTCTGTAAATTCAACTACTTGGTTTGTGGAGTTTCGGTCATTCTTTATCAGTTTTTAAAGTGTGTATAGATTGCATTTAGTAAAGGAATATCAAATATAAAACGTTATAGGAAAAGAGATCTACTAATGTAGCTTATGGTTACTGGATTTGAGTTACTTCTAATGAATGGAATAATCTTATCTATTGGTGTAAGATTTGATGATTTTAGCTGTATGAATATGTAATAGTCATACTGCACCCATTTTGCATCCCTTTTGTGACCTAATTTAAAAATATTTAAAATTGTGTTGCAGTTCTGCTTTGCTGTTTAATAAAAAGCTGTTTCAGAGACTGCATTTTGATACAGTTGTCTAAATAAATGAGGTGATAGGGAGGGTGGTGATGTATTGGAGTTCACTGCTACAGCATGAACAGTGTATCTTACATACGTGCCTGGTTTTGAGTCTTTAGGGAAATAGTATTTTTATTAATACAAATATTGCAAGATATCATACATAAGTGTTGAAAGAAAAGGACACAAGATCTCTAGGGGAAAGTAGGTTCTAGGTGTTAGGCTAGCTACTGTAACATGAGACCCGGTGAAACAGAATATAAAACACAGAAGCTTCTCCCTCTGCAGTGGTTCTGAAGTGAGCATCACAGGCTAGTCAGTCAGCTTTGCTGCACACCATTAACCATAATTACCGGAGACAGCTCTGCCTTTTTCCAACGTGCCGACACTCCGGTCACCATTATTCTAATTTGCAAACAAGAGAGCATGGCACATCTAGCATAGTACACATCTAGCCAGGTTTTTATGAGCTTAGCAAGGGCTGTGTTTTCTCACATTCCAGTTGGGTGGAGACTCACATCTAGAGGAGTGGCTGAAAACTACAGTCCTTTCCTGGGAAACCACGTTCTAGCTACAGCTTTACTCCTGGAAGCAGGCAACTGATTTTGTTGGCCATTAGTAGCTGTAGGCACAGCCTTCTTGTCTTACTACTAAATATTTATTTGCAAACTTTACTCTTAAGTAGAAAGTACTCAAACCCTCCTTAGTCAGTTAATGGTTTAACTCAAAATCTAGGATCTCTTTTGAGGCCTACTGGCTTAGTTTTTAATGGTTGTAGATTTTAATCTCTAAACTGGTAAGCAATTTATGAGTGCTTGTCCCTGATTTATAATATAGTGGGAGACACAGTTTGGAAAATGGGATAAAGTATGAGATTCACAGAATTATGGAATGCTCCTTTGAGACCTTGTGAAGATTCTGTCCCTAACAGTGGTCACGTTACTTGTTTAGACTTCAATGCAGATGTCAGGCAGAGGACTTCCCTACCAAAATGTAATTCTTTTCACTTCCCCCCATGACCACATTGAGGTAGAAGTGGGGAGATGTTCCTCCCGTGGAGTTGTGAAAACAGCTTTTTTTTTTTGCTATTATGAGTTTGGTGCCCATTATTTTAAAGCCAGGCTTACGTTTCTTTTGCAGTGCAATTTCGTAAACACTCAAGCCTTTTTATCTATATGCTTTTAAGCTCTGTATGCCAGGCACTACAACTAAGCCTTTTCTAGATCAGACTCTCGATTTGAGTTTTGTTTTCCCATAACCCTGTCTCAGTAATGGAGACCAGCTGAAAATAAGACCACACCCAGAGCTGCAACCAGATTTTTGCTGCATGGCCAAGACCCCTTGTTGGGCCCAACGACTTGGAGAAGGGTTTTACTAAGCTTGTCTGTGTCCCACACCTCAAAGAAACAGTTTTGAACCTTTTCTACTATTCCAAGTTTGAAAAGCAATTGGCTTTTCTAATTCTGTGAGGCTCCTGGCATCTAAACTGGATTCCATTTCTGCCTGAAAACTGCTGAGTACTTGTGATACCCTGTGAAAAGCAAAACAGCCAACCAGGGCCAGGGATTTAGCTTGGTGACCTGAGTACCTGCCTGGCAAGTGCAAGGTCAGATGTTTGATCCCCAGTACGAAAAATAAAAACATTAATCATTTTTAAAAAACCTCAGATAATCATTTAACATTCTGGCTGTTTTCAACTGCTTCCCCTAGTACTATTGGCCCGGTAGATGACAAAATATTGCCTGAAATCATGCCTTACCTGCTTGTGACATGCAAATGCCATACATGTTTATTTTCCTAACAATACCCCTTCAAGATACCATTTTCTATACTGGACATCCAGGTGGCAAGTATACATAGGGCCTACATCTAGTTCTCAACAAAAATGCTCCTTTCCTAGATTTTATACAAGCTTTTCAGCATTTTTACTGACCAGCCTTCATTTTTGGGCCATCTTACTCTACCTAGTCCAGTTTTACCCAAAACCCATGCTAAATTAATTTAGAGGATTCCCCATCCTCCATGGCTGGTCACCCTCAATAGCTGGGCAAACCCTTCCTTACCCATCACACCACATCAATCTGGCCTACCTTCAGCATGAATCTGTAGCCGGAATCCTTAATGTTTTCTCTTAGTAATACTCCACTGACAATCCGACTGCTCATCAAATACACTGTGGTAGTAACAGCCTGATTCTCTCCCTATTATGACGGTCTTGACATTTATCACAACAGCACTGAAGGAGATGTGTCAGAATAATGTTTAGTGTCCGAGTATTTTTTACTATCTAAGCATGCTGGTGTAAGGACTGCAAGGAAGGCCATCATACTACTAATATAATATGTCCTCCCCAAATTCCCTGAATTTCTAACATGTAGGAAGGAGGCCCTCTTAGGGAGATAATTAGAACATGAGGGTGAAGCCCTCAAGAACATTAGTGCCCTTATAAAAAAAGGTGGCAGTGAGAGCAGTCTGCATCCAGGGAGAACTTCAGAACTCAACCCGATTCTGCTTTCAGCCTCCAGAATTGTAAGAAACTCCTGCTGTTTCCCAGCCACTATTCTATGGCATTTTGTTACAGCAACTTGAACAGATTCGAAGCAATCCTTTTCCCTGGTAGGAATTTCCTCAATACTGACACTGCCGTTCTGTCCAAAAACTTTCCACTTCATGTTCCTTTTGGGCATTACTTAACAGCCAGTTACTACAGATCACAACCCCTTAACTGCAACTTGTTTAGAATTTGTTTTTCAACTTTTATGTAGTACGATGATTCAGCATGGTTTGTGGCAGCAGCTATAATGAAATGTAACATTTCTGCAGAAAAATCTAAGTATTAAGTGGGATAAAGAAAGACTACATAGTACAGATAAAAGACCATGAGGGGAGGTCAGGTTTGGGTGCCAGACTGATGAAAAAAGTTTCATTCTGATCATTTATAAAGAAAATTTGAGTCATTTGTAAGAAAAGGGAAGGATCCTGAGATGGTAACACTGAATGACATAAGCCAGACACAAAAGATTAAATATTGCATGGTTTCTCTAGCGAGAGCCCCTCACCCTCCAAAAAGAACAAAACAGACATGTTAAGAAAAGGGGAGGTAGACTCTGGAGATGGGAAGAGGCCTGGGGAAGGAGAAAGTGGAGCAGGTGGGATGCAGATAGTCAAGGGGCTCTATGTACCTGCATCAATCCCCCAAACTAAACCTAACCCCACTATATATTACAAATGGGTACTAATGAATTTTTTTCATTGTGCAGAGATTTTTAGATTTTAGAATTACACCAACAAAGCCTTTTGTAGAAAAGCAACCAGAATCTTGTAAGCATTTTCTCACCAGTTAATAATGCTGCATGTTTATTCTTGCCCTGAATTCGCTCCTCTTACAAAAGTGAGAGTTAAATTATATAAACTAAAGTTAATTTTAAGGTCTAAAGCAAAAAAAAATGCTTTTAATTCCTTAGAATATGAAACTGTTACTTTGCCTGATAATTTTGTTTTTTGTATCTTGGGATAACAGCCTCTGGTAGTTGTCATCAGATACATTTCAATTCTGACATAACCAAAATTATTACCAGTGAACACCAGAAATTAAGACCACTTGTAAATCATGAAAGAACAAAGATTAGGATGATAAATTAAGAACTAGGAACTAAAATGACCCAATTGCTTCTTACTTTATCCAAAAAACCAGTTACAAATGGATTATTCCACTAAAATCAGAATTATATTATTGAAAGGTCAAGGACATACGTTATGGGAACTTTAATGCTGGCTGGTGGATATAACTGACCTTACAATTAAAGGGCAGTGTTACAGCAGGATGATGGAAGTAACACGACATGGTCATTCTATCATGTATTTATCTTGCTTTAAATTTCACATGTTATGTGTAGATGGTTGGATAAGAGCATTAAAACCTGAAAGTAACCCCGGATTTTACAGAGAATGTATATTTCCACAATTTAACAAATGCAAATATGTGGTAAGATACTATGTTAGGTATCTTTCCGGTTTTCCTGTGGTGGTCATCAAAACTACTCCTAACGCTGTGCATTGACCTCCAGGGACAAACTCCAAATATGTTTCCAAATGCTTCTTTTCTCTCATCAATTGCCTCATCTTACCTTTCAGAGTGAAGATAATTTTATTTTCTAAATACAGCTGCCACAGTGTTGAAATTATGGAAGCAATATACTTTGGGGAAAATTATTGAAATTTATGAGTTAATGCCATTATGTTTTGATAAAACACCCGTGGAAAAGTAGCTTTCTTAGTCATCTGGTATTTTATGTAAATCCTGCTATAGTTAAAACATATAGCCAAAACTGAAAATAGAACCAAAACTATTCATAGGTGCCCAATTAATTAATTACTTGGAATATTTTTACTGAAAACAAAACTACTTTGGACTAGAACTCTACATTTTAATGTACATTAAATTCTCTGCTAGTGGTTCACTGTAACATGTAAGCAGTTCCATCCACCCTGTGTCTCTTCCACATGAGGAACAATACTTCAAAAATACAACTAACTACAGACTTGATGTCTTCCTAGACAAATGGCCAGTGAGTGCAGGGCTAGCTGCAAAACACTTTCAAAAAACAGAAGTTACTTTACCCTGGTGAAGTTTAAAAACATGTAAAAACAGGACAACTAAAATAAAAGCAAAATACACTTTTCTCCCTTACCAGAAAAAAGGATAAAATTTAAGTCACATTAAACAATAAAGTTAGACTAGGGTAGTAAGAGGAAAAAGGGATTTGGTATTAACTTTCTGCTTTGTCTACTATCTAGATCTCTTACATCTTACTCATAAGCATTTTAGTTTTGGCTAAACCTATCAGCCATGGTACATCTGTTGAGAGGAATATGCTTGGGAGTTAGCAGTGACTTAGCAAAACCGGGTGCTCAAGTTGCAAGCTCAAGGCATTTTAAACCAAATGTTCAAGTTAAAGGCATTCTGTAACTAAGGAAGTAAAAACAGTTTTAATCAATATTTAGAAAAAATGTTCACATACAAGACACTTCTTGGTCAAAGTTTTTGTGGCTTTTTTGCGGTTTTCTGTGTACTCCAGCAGGATCTATGTACTTTGAAAAATACTCTTATTGAGGATTATTCAGTGTGTCTAGATGGAAGCAAGGGTGGGACTCCATGGAAGGTGTCTTCAGTTCAGTCAATATTAAATAAGTACGAATTATGGTTGATGTGCCTAAAGATTTCCACCACCAATTTATGAAAGTTAGAACGTGGCAGCAGAGAAAAGTACTTACTTGTACTTTCAATTCTCTCTGGAACAGGAAGTGAATAGTTTTCCTGGCCCTGCGTGGCTTCCATTATTAAAAGCAATGCTAGAGCCCCGGGACTCAGGTACCCGTGGAAGAGACGGAAGAGAACCGGCCGCGGCCCAGAGAGAGTGCGCCTGTCCACGAAGGGGTCCAGACTTGCTCAACTCTAGATATTTAGTATTAAAGTGTTCTGTGGTCTCAAAGGTTTAAATCCCCTAAAGCTGCTACCTGAACATAAAAAAAAGTTGTTCAAGAAAAGATTTTAAGTGGAGCAACACAGCTGCACTATAAAATGGTTCACGGACTTTTGGTAACTTCTCTAACAGGAGGAGCCCTGACTCCCATCCACCTCGCAGAGGGCTCTGAATCTGTGGAGGAAAACAGCAAGGTGAAAATACAAAGCAGGATGAACTGGTATTAGCCACTAGAATCCCAGAATAGTAAACAAAACAAAGTAATTCAAAGACTCTCCAGTGATAATTCACATGTTCAACGGGGTATAAATTAAACAGTAAAACGTAAATTTCATTTTCAAGAGCCATGAATGCACAAGAATTTTGTGAATGGGGTAAGCTACTCTGGAGTGAAACAATTATAAAAGCTCAGAGAAAATCTCTACACCATAAATCTATTATCTTTGTAATCCAGTGTAAAATACTGTGCAATATCACTCAGTATGTCTGTAAGTGACAGACATTTTACTAATGTTGGTCACCAAATCACCTCTTTAAAACAATCTATAATTGAATTTGACCATCATTTTAACTTGACATAAACTGGGTCACATACAACACTTTCAATTGCTGATATAAGCAACGATAAGAAAGTTTATTGCAGTTAGCTCTGTGCAACAGGACACACTCTCATTTTTATTACAAAACTACCACTTATCTTGTTTTAGCCATTTTAGTGGGAATTCCAATAACAGACTTTTCCAAAAGCAGTGAGGTTGTTACATACCATTTTGCTTGGTACAAACCAAAACTGTCTTCAAACTATTAAAATTGTAATGTCTAATAATATCAATCTCACAAATCTGATATGTAATTTCCCACGTTTTAAAAATTCCAAATTCAAAGATGATGTAACTTCAAAGTTGTTTTTTCCCCTGAAAAGAAAGAATAATATCTGAAAGACTAACATTGCTAGATATTTATTAACAGGATGTATAGACTGATTCCAGGTTAATTCTGGCACGGAGACTTTAAAATGCCAAGTATATCTCTCAGGAACTGAAATGCTTCGATACAGTTCAGTCCTTTCGTACTTTTCTTTTGCGTAGTGATTTGATTGGTCCATCTCCGGATCCTGTGCTTTCATCTGTTTCTTTCATCTAGAAAAAATAATTATTATGGAAGTGACAGTACACGATAGTTATTATTCTCTAAAATACACATTTTAATGATCAAATGCTATCTTATGCATGTCCTTTCATGTAACTGGTCTAATATATATATATATATATTAATGTATGTTCATTTGCTCATAATTGGCATGATTACACTTTCAGACTAACCATCTTTATCAAGTAAGCATTCATAAAGAACATGTTCACAATGTCATTTATCATTTTGTTGAAGGCTTAGAACTTGGTTTCACCATCATATTTAATGGCTATGTGATATATTCATTATAAAATAATAAACACTGACTACTCATCACATTATTTCTGTAAAAAATTGGTGAGCTGGCTTTATAGACCTTTTCAGAACTTCTGATGCACAATACCTCCAGAACAATTAGAAGAGGGGAACGGAAAAGGAAATACCAAATTTATGTTTTGAGATTTTTTTTTCTTTAATTATTGTCCTTCCAGAATGTTAATGAAGATGTTAGATGCTATTATATAAAAGTCATTATTACTTGTAAAGGTTATACTACACAAAATTTGACTTTTTGACAAATATATGTAAGAAGACTAACAGACTGGAAAGAATTAAGGTATTTTTAGAAATATATAAAGTGTTCTGTGAAATAAACATAGCCAGAGGCATTCAGGTAAATGACAGAAAGTATCATATATTAAGAACATATGGCTGAAACAATGACTAAAAAGCTCCTCTGGGAGAAATGATTTGGACCTGGCTCCAAATATGGGTATTTATCCTAAAAAAATGGGATATGGGTATTTATCCTAAAAAATACCCCCTGCTACATTCTTTTGAAAACTTCCAGGGAGTGAAGACCAGTAACGGGGTGTGTGTGTGTGTGTATGTATGTATGTATGTATGTATGTATGTATATATATATATATATATATATATATATATATATATACTGAGAGAACGTTTAAACACAGCTCTTAAAATAGATATAAACTATATATCGACACAGGAGTCTGGCTAGCGCTGACCCTCCCTACATGAGCAGCCCGGTAGGCTGCAAATTTCTGAGTAAGAGCAGCTCATAAAGGCCTTAGCGTTTTGATTTACACTTGGTAAAACAGCTCTGGTCCTCAGTTACACACTAGGTCAATTACACACTACATGATTTCTGATTCTATTAGCCAGGCTAAAGAAAAAGGGCCGTTGTCTATCAGAATACAAAAAGAGGTGACATCTGAAAGTAGAAAACAGTTCTCATTCCTTAGAGATTTGAGAAAAACACTATTATCAGGAAGACAGTACTCCTTTACTCATGAATGAAACATTTCAAAACCTGACACCGAAGTATTGAGACAATGTTTTAACAAAAGCTATACAAAATTATCTTGTCATGAATATTTTATTTTAAATGTTGAAATGATCTGTGTTATACTTTCTAACGTCAGTTTTTCTAGACCTGGTTCTATATTTACATTTAGTAAATCATTGTCTTATTGGGCACTAAGATATATGCTAGTCTTTTTGCCTTCTTTATGGAAACGTTTTAAAAACAATATGGAGGCTCTTATGAGAGCTTGCAGAAGTATAGTAAAAAATCTCTCAAAAACAAAGTGCTTTTATTGAATAATGTTTTATGAGTAACAATCACTCACAGAAACCTGCTCACCTCATCCTCCGATCCGGACTTATTTGATTTATTCCCCTCTTCGTGCACTCCTATGACTTCAACTACTTCTTCTTCTTCTTCTTCTTCTTCTTCTTCTTCACTCTTCCGCTCAGGTCCACTTTCCTCTTCTAGAACACAGAGTTTATTAAAGACAAAACTCAATGAATGAGAATTTTGCTACTGACAAAATATAATTAAGGGGATTTATTTGATTTGAAAATTTAAAATCAATTTCTGAGTTTCAAAATTTTAAAAATTGTAAAAACTCGTTATTTTGACACTTTTTATAATTAAATCATCTCACTTGAGGCAAGGGATGAGTTTATAGAGTCCTGTATGCAATATGAAAACCAAAGAACTACTATCATTCTTGTGCTCTTGCCTTAGGATTGCTCCCCTCTGTTTTTGGTGATTTCTGTAGCCTTCAGTATGCTGCGTGTCTGTAACTTTGAGCGCACTAATCACCAATTGTTTTTTTCATTTACCAACTCTTATGGATTCCATTTAAACAAACCTCCAACTTTGTCTCCACCACTGTATCAAAACATTTTCTCTCAGAACTATATAAAGCCGAGACCCTGGAAACTATATATGGTAAAAACTACACAAAGTCAAAGCAAACTTAGTTTGGGGAAAGGGAAGGGGAAAGGGAGGTCAACAGTCACCTCTACCTCCCCTATGTGTTTCCAGGAGCACAATCAGACAACGTGGATATGCAGGCATGCTTTACACAGTAGGGCCTTTCTGATACTGAACTATTCCAGTAAGAGCACTACATAAACCACCTCTAAGGCTGATCAAAACTCCAATGTGCTTATAAAGACTGAGAACTTACAATGTAAAGAGTTTTATTTCATTGTGTTTTACTTTTTTTGGTACTGGGCATCAAAGTCAGGACCTTGGGCTTGCCAGGCAGGTGCTTGTGTCACTGAGCTAGATCTGTAGCCCTATAATGAGTTTTAAATCCACACACAGACACACAACAAACACACACACTTTATAATCAAGTACAACAGCTAGTTATTTCAAAGTGTGTGTGTGAACTGGAATGCATTATAAATATAAGCGTGTAGTTTTTAAAAGAAGGGCCTAGGCCGGGCACAGTGGCATATATCTGTCTTCCCAGCACTCAGGAGACTGAGGCAGGAGAATCACTTCAAGTCTGTAGCCAGCCTTAGGGTTAGGCCTGCATAACTACATAGCAAGACCCTGTCTCAAAAACAATAAAATAAAAATTAAAAAGAAGCCTAGACTTTAAGTCCACTGTTACGTCAACTACTAAGTTAAAAACAACACTTCAAGCCATTAGTTGTTACATCATCTGCTGCTTACTCTGGAATCGGCTTAGGACACTTGGTACATTAACTTTCTCATTTCTACCTAGATATGCATAAGGAGGTCTCAACTGAGAGCCACCAAATAACCTCAGCCGCTCAGATATAAAGCTTCAAAAGCTCTACACATGGGAGGGGACACAGTATTTACCTTATACCCCCAGAAACTATTTTATATGACAAATTGTCTAATAAACAGTAGCCATCGGAAGAAGAGCTAATAATGGTTTTATTGCTGTAACCACTTGCCTTCTACCTCCTCTTCTCCCACAAAGGCCAAACATATACCTTACATTTCACCGTCTTTATTCTCAAGAGGGAAGAAATGTCCTTGCACCCAGCTATAACGGCTCCAAAGCAACTGACTGCTGTTTGAATCTTTCACCCGAAATGAGTGACTGTGACCTGGAGAGACGACGACCCTCCTCCTCACCGCCACAGTCATATATTCATAAACAAACCCTAAGTCATAACATCACACCACCTTTGTCAGGAATTTCACCATCACTTTGTTTGGTTTTTCCCTCCAACTCCACTGGCTTCTCCAGGGCTGCCTTTTCTTCCTTAACTTCTTGCTCCAGAGCTCCCTTTGTTTGTAGTTTACATAAGGCCTGTTTTTTGTACTCTGTGTCTTCATATTTTTTCTGCAGTAATTTAACATAAGCTATTTTTACTGAAAGCAAAACACTGTTTAAAAATGTTTTTTTTTAATAATAACATTCAGTCAACTATCAGTAAAAATTATAGAAAATTTACTTTAACATTTTTAAGAATCACTTGTTCAATCACAGAACTCAAAATTAACAAATCTGAAAAAGAAAGTCGAAGGAAGTTCTTTTACCTTTACTTTTCTTGGCCAACAAAATGACGTAATTAATATTACTAGAAGAATTAATACCACTGCACCCACAACGAAAATGAGCCAAAGCCACGAGTGCTCTTCAGCAGCTGTCATTAACTGCTTAAATACACCAGGCTGCAGGAAAAGCAAGCACACAGATGTGACTTGTGTTTCACAGCTCCCCACTGGAAGAACAGTTCACCAGAACGGTGCACTTTACCTAGACATTTCACATTAGAGTTGACGGAATTGTAATCAAAGAAATCTTTTATTTTCCCACCTTCTACTTTATAAAGGAGACTTTAATTATCACCACACATCACTCAGTGAGACTTTGCAATACAAGGGATATTACTATAAAGGTCAAAACACCTAGCTTATCAGCTAGAACAATGGCACTTTTTTTGTTAGCTCCCAGAATATAACTACTTTTTATAGATAGATTAGCTGGTTCGAGAAGCATGCAACTCTTTGATAATTCATTCTATAAAGAAGCTACTAATAAAATCACACCTAAGACTGTGATTTTTCTTTTCACATATGAACTTCAGTGAGGAAACTATTTCTCTTATTAAAATAAAATGCTGATTGAAGATGGCAGATGGGTAAGGAACAAGGTGCAGAACCTCTCTGAGAGAAACAGCTCAGATGCTATGGAGAAGCCTGGTCGAAAGGAGAGGGATTCTCGTGACCCAGGGAGAACTAAGGAAAAAAAAAAAAGAAGAAGAAAAGAAAAACATAGACAGAAGGCTGGACCCAGCGGTGCTGGCCCAACTCGTGATTGTGGCGCTCTCACCTGAGCCCATGGGACCCATGATCGAGGTGCTCTCGCTGGAGTCACAGTCACGCTGAAGCTGGGGGTTATCAAGCCCAAGGGAGAACAGAGCCGACATGGAGGCCTGCACTAACCCATGGTGAGTGTGCAGAATTTGCCCTCCCCCACGGGAGGGGAGTGGCTGACCAGATGACATATTGGTATTGGGCAGGACAGGCCTGAACAAGGGATGGCAGTGCCTTCAGTTGGCTGCTCCCTGCCCAGAGCAGATTGGTGGGATATAATTGGGCTAGGTCACACCCCTGCCCAGGACCCAATAGCCAGGGATGAAATTGTCCCCAAAGTTGTCCCAAACTGGTTCTGTCCACGTGGCACATACTAATGTAATAAGGGCTCCCTGCTGGCTGACTGGCTCAGAGGGGAGGGGCCAACCTACACAGCCCCTGCTTGTACCTCAGGGATTAACAGCAAACTGGAGAGGGCAGCAATCCCTAGCCAGTGTGCTTCAGAAGAACCATAACCAATAGGCAAGGGGCTGGGACCTCCACCATAAACCTGTATGGAAGAAATAAGAAACATGACAAGAGAAAGAAATAAGAAAAAGCCTCCAGCCAATCCAAGGCACATGAGGCCAGGAGAGGTAAACACAGAAGAGACAGAGCAGCAAACATGCAATATTGGACATGGCATCAGTGGACATAAGTAAGTATCTTCGTGACATCATAGATGAGCTCAAAACTGAAATACTGATACAAGCAAGATATAAGAAGATTAATAAAAGAAATTCTAAGCACCTCTCAAGAAGACACAGACAGAAGAATGGAAGAACACAGAAAAAAAGAGAGACCTTTGATGAAGAATATAAAAAAACCTTAGAATACATGAAACAGATTTAAAGAGATTACCATGAAATTAAAAACTCCGTTGAAAGCTGAAAATAACTGCCTGAAAGAAACTAGAGATATATTAACAAAACTTGAAGATAGGCTTGCAATGTGTTAATGCAAATGGAAAGATCTCTTTAAAATAACAAGGAAATGGGCAGTAACAATTCAAAGGCTAGAAGATGATAAGAAGATTATAACTCAAGAATAAAAAATATGAGTGAAGAAGTAGGGGTAAACACAAAGGCTATTCACAGAAATAATTAAGGAAAACTTCCCAAGCATAGGAAAAAGAAATGATATTCAGATGTATAAGGCACACAGAACTTCAGCCACCTACAACCAAAACAGAGCTATGCCCAGACATATAATAATCAAGATTCCAGAAATTCATCACAAGAAAAGAATATTAAAAGCCATCAGAGAAAAGAAACAGATCACCTATAAAGGAAAGCCCATCAAAATCATGACAGACTTCTTGACACAAATCATCAAATCAAGAAAAGTTTGGAGCGAAGTATTTTAAGCCCTGAAAGAAAATAACCTCCAACCCAGATTGATGTACCCTGAAAAACCGCCTCTCAAAATTAATGGAGAAACAAGATGCTTCCATAACAAAGAGGAACTGGGGGAGTTTGTGACCACTAATCCAACCCTACAAAAAATACTGAAGGACATTCTAAAGAGAGAGAAAAAAAACCATCAGGATTTCAGGAACAGAGTCCTCAATAAATGGGGCAGACAGTGGAATGAAGGAGAAAAGTAGACAACCAATGGCAGAAAAATAGCACAGCAGAGATGAGGCAGAGAAGGCTGGCTATAATCTCTAACATAGATGGTCTTGATACACTAACAAAAAGAAATATAGGCAGAGTAGATCAGGAGATAGGGTCTATCAAGATGCTATAAATAGGAAATATAATTAACCTGAAAGAGGGTTTATGGATCAAAAGTCAAATATGAGAAAACAATGCTCTATGTTATGGGAAACCAGAGAGAAATAGGGACAGCTCGTCCGGCAGCTGCAGAGAGATTGAAAAGACAGGATACTTATGTGCAGTAGAGAAGTACTCAGCTATAATAAAGGAAAACCTGGAGGCTTTTGTAGGTAAAGGAATACAAGTTAAGATTAAGCCCAGGGGTAAAAAGGTTCAGAACCACTTAGTAAATAGCAGGTTGCCCTCCCATCTAAAAACTAAAGGAGTTAGTGGGACCCAAAATGTACCCTGTGAAAGTGAAAGAGGAGGAATCGTCTAAAAAAAGAAGGCAGAGGACATTGTTAATAGTGTATCAGGATTTAAAATCCACTTAGTTCTTATCACTCTGTTTAGTTTGGTTATATTCTGTTTCAGTCTACTTCTACTAGACTTGAGGACACAGGCACCTATTCCAAAAACAGTAGGATGTAGTATGCAACCATACTTAATTTCTTATTAACTTAATCTGAGGCCCTGTATTACTTACACTGTCTTATTATGACTGATCTTACTTGAATCTGGTTTGTTAGATCACTGCTTTGTATTGATTGATTTTATTCGAATCTGTTATGATTGATAGTATCAAGTCTGACAGTATAAGCAAATACTCTGCAGATGACAAGATTCACTAGGATACCCACTCTGGCTTGACTATTACCTGCTTCTGAAGTCTTATAATGTCTCCAATGTTTTGTTTTTATTAATATTATTAGGTACTGCTATGTTCAATTATACTATGCCTGATGATAGACAATTCTATTGAAGGTAACAAGAGACATCATAGTTACCATTGTAGATCACCTTGTACTTTGGTTTTATATGACTTTTTCATTTCATGTTTTTATAGGAATTTGTTTTGTCTTGTTTTGTTTTTCCCTCTAATACAGAAAAGATAGATATACATGTAGAGACTCATGCATGAGTAGAACTTCTACACAGTTTATGAGAACTGTTTATATGATGCACAATAAAATGAAGAACTACTTTGAAGAAAAAGACACACTAAGGTACCCAGTGCTGATTCCATAGCATCATGATATGAAATCCAGCAATATTATTAGTCTTTGTTCAGAGTGATTTTAGTCTGGTTTTTTTTTTTTGTTGTTGTTGTTGTTTAATTTCAACATATGTAAAGGTATGGACAGCCACTTTGAAGAGAATGAGACATTATTGCAGCCATTGTTGACTTATTGTCTGGTCTTGAAGACCTAAAATGCCTTCATCATCCTGTTTGGATCAGTTTTATACTATGTTGTTTTATATGAATTCACTATATGTGAAGATATGGACAATTATTTGGAAGAAAACAAGAGACAGTATGATAGATAGTGAAGAACTCTGGTTGTCTTACTTTAAAATCTGTGTCTTCTACATTGTTTTCTTATGTCCCGTTTTGTTCTATTTAATTTTATCCTCTTTAAAATAAAATTAGAAAATAAAATACAAGGCTACCAAAAGATTCATTTTTACCTACTCTTCTGATGGTTGTTGTAACTGTCTACAGAAACCAAATAGAAGGTACGAATTTTTCTTTAGAGTTAACTGATTTTAATGATGCACCGTGTTGAAATACTGAGCCTCGTCTTTTCTAAACAGTCTAAAAATATGGGGAAAAAACTGGAACACAATTTAATAATGTAATTCTTTGCATTTCTCTTAAATGAAAAGTACTTAAAATGAGTATACATTATTGCTACCACTTAGGCCTTCGGTTGGTAACATGACAAAGACACTAAGAAGTTTCGTTTCTATAATTTAAAGGCATTAAATCTCATTAAAGCTGTAACAATTTAATGAATATCAGTGGACATATCTATGCATAGTTCATTATATGTTCTAAATTAAGAATCATAATACAGAAAAGCGAAATAGCCTGTCCACATACTTATTCAAGTGTATTTCCCTGGCATTTAGTAATTATTGCATACTTACCATTAACAGGCCCATTTCAATAACCTGTAATGGGTCACAGAACCAAGCCCTAACATTAGTCTACCCGGTTACACTGCTACCACTGTGATCACTACCATACCTCGTTAGCATTTGCAACCAGTACTTTAAATCTCCAGCTGTCTTCAGCCCAGCGATCGGCTACTTCTTTTTCTGAACAGATAATAAAATTATCAAAGTAGATGTCAGAGGACATAGACCAAAGCTCTAAACCAAGGGCACAAAAAGAAGTCAGAAGAAATGGATGCTCATCTTCAAAATAATCTGGGTTAGGAATTTTTTGAGGACTCCAGATTCCCTGAAAAAAACAATAATTGAAGACATTTTCAAATAAAACAAATTCATTGAAATGCTGATCAAAAAGTAGCCGCTGTCAAAGAAACTAGTAATCAGAAGCAGATAACAAAAATATAAATGATATTAATTCATTAATAATGCATTGGGAAAACTCTTGTTTATTCTTTTTCTGTTCATGCATTCTCTATGAGTAATACTTTTAACTGCAAAAAAAGCAAAGTGAAAATCCAACACATAGAAACTTAAGGAAATTTCACAACTGATTATTTCAGGCAAATTTTTAGACTTAGTGAAAGTATCTGGGTCAAGATATTGTTAAAGTTGCCTAATTCAGAAAGATCATTATATTGCAAAAATAGAACCCCTCCTGCATGACAGGCATCATTAATCAATCACAGGAACCTTAAAACAATTACTCATGAAAGTCCCATGAGATCTTTAAATGGCTACCCTATCAATCAGGTAGAATTAATTCAATAGCTCACTCACTAACTGACTCCACTGTCACATGTATCTATTCTGTGCTAGATCCCAGGGACCCAAGTCAATCAAGACACACACTGTTTCTGTATTATAGGGTTTAAAGTGTAATGAGAAAGATATACATTACACAAAACCATTACCAAAAGAAACATTTTATGGTACATACTTTGAAGAAACACTATAGTGAACAACTAGACTATGCAACTCAATGTATACATAATGTTAGAAAATATCAATGAATAATTACAACAATAAAACTAGAGAATTAAATGAATAATATAGGAACTTTTGATATAAAAATGTAGATACATTCAAACTATGTCTGCTCATATTTTAAACACTCTAAATTTTAATAATGCTAAAATATAAGGTACATAGGGGCTGGAGATTTAGCTCAGTGGCATACGCACCTACCTGGCAAGCATGTAAAATTTACATTCTGAACTCTCTTGATCTAATTTCTTTCTTATATTTATTTCTAAAACAAAACTCTATAGTAGAACATACTTTAATAACATAATACCTTTAATCACCAAACTATTCCTAAACTTCTAAAAACACAAAGATTTGTGTTAAAAGTCCCCAGGACATAAATAAACGATCAGACTATATCTGATACTGTCTTTGGAGAAGGAAAAATAATTTTTTGAAGAAGAATAGGAAAGAAGATAAGGAAGACTGACCTTCTGGCCAGGTTGAGTAAGGCTAGGAGTAAAAACAAAAAACAAACCAAAAAAAGAAGAGTACACACAACTTCTAGGTACAGTAAAGGATTTCCAAAGTCTACACAATATTTTAGTCTCCAGGATGTTAATAATTTCAAGTTAATATGATCTCTAAAACTTCTGAGTAGAAATTAAGTTGGAGAATATTCCAGATACTATATATAAATGCCGGTGTTTGCTAAGTACTGTATGCCTATTCATCTGTGGCCCTAAGAGCTCTAGGTAGAGCAATGCGAGCATATTAGCCATATTACTTTAGCCTCTTTGGAAAGCTGTCGTTCTGCACATATTTCAGATTTTGCATTAATGCCAGCAATTAGTCAGGCACTGTATGACAGGATTATGTGTTGTAGTACATTTATATCGATATTTTTCTTTTGTCCAGATTTCATCTTTTGCATACACTGTAGTTCTCTTTTAAGTAAAAACAATTTGCTGTTTTTTACGTAACAATGAATACTATATACATGATATCTTCAGAGTATTATTGCTTCAACTTTTAAAAACTTGGTCAATATTTTGCTTTAGCACCAAGCTACATGGTATTATGGAAATGTTTATTATCTTAGTAATAAATTAATGGGTCAATGGTTTTGAAGATGGAGTATTTAGTCAATAAGGATTAAACGTGGTATTTTAAAAATATATATTTTAATTATTTGGAAGAAAAAGAAGAAAATTTGAGATTCTGAACTTTGGAGAAGTTGGTAAAATCTGACAATTGAACATAAAACATATCCTGTAATACTGATGAGTGTCAGTACATTTTACTTAGCAAATCTTATTTTGATTGAACTGCAAACTATGTTCACAGATGCTACCTTACAAACAACAGAATAGCTGTCTCTTCTGTCAGCACTTCGGAGATTATTAGTCCAGATCAGGGCTGGTGGCACATGTGCCACAGCAGGCTGTTTGTTATCACTGAAGGCTCTAAAAGGTTCGCCATACCTGGTCCAGACAACAGCTGTCTGCAAGCCTTTCAGGAGAAAGAATTCTGGGTACCTGTTAGTGCACTTAACTGTGAACTTGACCAAGAGACTTGTACTTGAAATTGTGCATGTACAGTGTATGTGTTTGTGCATTTTCAGGTGAGAATATCTATGGCTTCGGTGAAAATCTCAGTGCTGGTCTGGTACCTGTGTGCAGAATAACTGCTTTAACACTATGTAAAATAAAGAGACTGAGCTGTGGAGTCCTCGGTGTTCTCATTACTGAGCTGCACTACTGGGTTGGAGGGCTTTCCCGTAGAGCTACTTAACTATCACATGAATTAAAGGAATGTGAACATTTATTATAATAGGCTCAATAAAGTCAATATATCACCTTTCCCCAATCCAATTTCATTCCACATGAGCATCACCAGAGAAGAATATGGTATAAGGTGATTTATCTTCAGCTCTTAATTTTATTATCCTAGAATAAAACAATACTTTTTAAATTTAAATTAGGTGAGGTCTATTTTCTTTGACTCCATGGAATTCTGAACCAAGCATCTAAAAGGTAACATAATGTTACTGATAATTAGATGTATACGATAAAAAGGCACATTTTTAAACCTTAGTAGACTTGGAACAACTGGTTATTACCTGGTAGTTAGGATTATTGATCATTGGTGGGCTCCATAGTCCTCTGTATTTTGGATTATTGATCATAGGAGGTTTCCACTCGCCACATCCAATCCGACAGGCTGGATTAGGAATATAAGGTGCCTCCCATTCTCCATCCATGTCTTCATTCCTTAATATACCATAATAAAACAAATGTAACCACAAGTCTCTCCCACTGGTCATTTAAGCTAGCCACAAAAAAAGAAGAAATAATGATATTTGAAGGTGAAGAATGCTTACCAGTCACTAGGTTTTTCAGAGTCAGGATTTGGGATAAATTTTGGTTCATTATCAAGCCAACCATTAGGTTTAACAGCACTTGAGTCTTCTATTTGGGCAGGTTCATTTTCATCCCTATAAAAATATTTTACGTTAATAACTGTTCAAGTTAGGTGTGGTGATGCACAATTGTAATCTCAGAACCATGAGTAACTGAGGCAGGAGGAGATCACAATTTTGAGTCTGGCCTGGACAACGTAGAGGGACCCAGTGTTAAATGCAAAAGAAGGGAAGAGGGGCTAGGGGATGTAGCTCAGTGCAAGGACCCTGGTTTAATCCCCAGCACCACAAAAAAATTGTTTAAAAGGTTCTAAAACTCTCATGTGACAAAATTTGGAAGACATACTAACAGTATATATACTACCCTTCTGATCTGTGCCTAACCTCTCCCTACTTCTAATCATCTAAGCCTTCTGTTAGCCTGCCATTTTTTGTGTGCAATCCCTGTGGAGTTGCATGCACCTATGTGTATATTTACACAAAGGACAGCATTCCATACCTAGTACACTAGACCTTGCTTTTGTCACTTATAAACTCAGTCACTCAACATCTGCTCTATTCTTAACAATTGTATAATTTTATATTTTGTGGATGTACTGTAACTTACTTAAAGACAGTGTTTCCAAAATTTTATTATTATAACAATGTTAGGAGTCAGGGATATGGCTCAGCAGCTAAGTGCCTTCCTGGCAAGTGCAAGGTCCTGAGTATGATTCATAAAAACAAAAAAACAAAACAAAACAATGTTATAATGAGTATCTTAGAATATGTGTCATTTCTTACCTATAAGAATATGTGCATTCTAAATTTTGATGTCCAATTACTCCCTACCTTTCCAGTGAAGAAATTAGTCCTCTGAGCTATGGAAATTTAAAATGCAATTTTCTCAGTTTACTGTGTGTCTCTTGATACAGTTTTTTTCCTATATACACACCTTTTATTTTCAAATTGTTTTATTAACATTTTTCATGGTTCTTGAAAATTTATTTACTCTAGTATTTTAAAATTTTTTGAATTCTAATGTTTTTATTAAAAACACTGACTTGTCAAGTACATCCTGAAGTAGATGAACATAATTACAGTTAGTACAGAACAGAACTGATACAGTTTTTTTAGAGAAAAGTAGACAATTTAAAGAGGCTTCTTTGTGACTTTCCATAAATACTGGAATTCTAAAATTGTAAGAGCCAACTCTATAAATGTACAGACTTGAACTTACCTTGTATCAATGCTAGACTGCGCCTCTTGAGTCATCAGAGAAATCAGAAGTTAAAATTTAAGAAACCTTTCTTTCAGCACTTTATAAAACAAATCTGATACAATTCACCAATATGAAGATGCTTTCACCTGCAGTTCCTTGCATTTAAGGGTAAACTTGCTCTTTAAGAGTAAGTATTAAGTGATAATAGTTTACATGAGAGGCAGTACTTTTTCTAATAGTATAAATGCACAGAGATGGTGCAATGATGTGACTTTTTATTAATTTCTTTTAAAATCACACTGCTTTTTCTAGCTTACACAAAGAACTTCCCTCTAACACTCTGCCTGAAAGCAGGAGCATTTTATTATAATCAGCACCTCTCCTAATCCATTAGGGAGATGACAACATCTTTGATTTTATTCCAAAACAATACACTGTGTTCTACAAGAAAGTACATAATTTCAGTGTTTATAAATGAATAAGAACTTATTGGAATGGAGACTTCCCAAAATGAAGCATGAAACCTGGTTTAAAAACAATGAACATCTGTAACATGATCTAAAGCAGTCTAACATACGTTAAAGTGAAATACTCCTCAAAAAAGAAGAGATGAATATAGGAATACTTGAAGAAATAATAGCTAAGTATTATTCAGATTTGACACAAACTATAAACTCAAAATTTGAGAAGCTAATAACAGACACAAAGCTGTATAAAAATATGAAAAAGACCACACCAAAGCACAACTAAGTCAAAGTTAAAAGCTGGTAATAATGGAAACAAATCTTAAAAGCCAACTGAAAAAAAATGATCTACCAGTGAAGGAGAAAAGTTGAAAATAAAAACTGACAAAAGATTCACTGGATACCCCAAGAAAAGGGACACTTGCTGAAAAATAGCTATTCCCTCTTGGTTGGTAATGAAAATACCCTTCTAAAAATGAAGACCAAAAAAAAATATTTCAGACAAAATTGGGAGAATTTGGTAACAACAGCCATGTTATAACATGTCATGGAAATTTTTTAGGCAAGAGGAAAGTGACAACACATGGAAATTTGTGTCTTCTCAGAAGGAAGAAGAGCACCACATATGGTAACTATGTAAATACAAGGATTGTCTCTTCATATGACTGAAAGGTACTCAGGGAAGAATAAAAATGCATGGTCTTCAGAGTGTATTAGAATTATGAAATTAGCACAAGGAATACAATGGGAAACATGTAAGAAGAGAATTAAATTACAGGGAAGCTTTACTATTTTTTAAAGGTAGACTAAAATCAGTTACAAATGTACTGTAAGCAATCAGTAAAACAATAAACCAGAGAGGAAAAGCTATAGGGCTAACAGAAAAAATAAAATGGACTATAATGATGAAAGAATGTAACAAGTTTTTATAAAGGATCACAGTGTAAGGGGAAAACAGGAAGCCAGCAGTGAGGAGGGAGGTGCATGTCTACCATACCAAAGGCAGCACTGAATGCGGATGGCTCAGACGTGCCAACTAAGAAGAAGACCCAAAGACAGGCTGCCAGGAAGAAGTCACTTGAAAACTAAAGGCAACTACAAGCTGCAGAGAGAAGTTGAGAATAACACAATATAAACAAAGCAGAAGCACTGATTTAACATCAAGCTAAATAGAGGTTAATACAGAAAGTATCACAAACTTTAAAAAGAAATACATTTATAATAATGAAGGGCCTCCATGTGCTGAGTGGTGCAAGCCGAAGGCCTGCACAGTGAACTCTACCTAGCTGTGCAGCCTCAGTACCTCACTTAGAACCCGGCAGGGCCCCATCCAGTGACCCAAGCAGCTGGGGAGCTTTGGTGTGTGTGGGGTGTGCTGAAGGTCCATCCAGCATACACCCCCATTCGGGGAACCGTGCCCCTAGGACCTGGTAAGGCCTGCCTAACTATCCCTACTCAACTGGGGAAACTTCCTACAGAACAGACAGCCATCCTCAACCCAGAAAACAACTGAGACTTTGCATTCGGCTGCCCCAGGAGAATATTAGAAAACTGACAAAATGAAAGAGCAAAATGCAATCGCAAACCTCGAGTTCATTCCAAACAAGCCTAGCAGACATGGACATAGAAGAAAGTGTAAGCCATACATCTGAAACTTTTAAAATGACAGCAACTGAAGTAAACAAGTAAAGAAACAACTCCATGAAGCTGCAAAAGAACTCAGATCAGAAATAATCTCCCAGGTAAATAAGAAATGCTGAACACATCTAAAGAAGACATAGTTAGAAAGATACAGGAGCCTTGCAAAAAGACTGAAACCTTGAAGGAACAATATAAAACAGAAACAGATTCAAAGAGATATCCAGGAAATCAAAAATTCTATCAAAAGCTGGCAAAACCACCTCAATGAAAGTGAAGATAGACTTTCGGACCTCGAAGACAAGATTGTAGCTAGTGAACAGATCTTTTAAAAATAACAAGGAATCAGCTCTTAAAAATAACAATTCAACAGCTGCAAGGTGATGCAAAGAAAAGCAATATAAGATTGATAGGTGTCAACAAAAGGTAACAACACAAATGATATAAAAAGACTACTTACAGAAGTAATAGCTGAAAATTTCCCAAACATGAGAATGGAAACTGACATTAGGATTAGTGAAGTATATAGAATTCCAATTAGTCACAACCAAAATAAATCTAGACCCAGACATATAATAATTAACATCCCAGAAATCCAACATAAGAGCAGAATATTAAAAGCTGTTACAGAAAAGAAACAAATCATCTATATAGGAAAGCCCATCAGAATCATAGCAGACTTCTGAATCCACACAAGTCAAAAAAATCATGGAGTGAAACTTCAAATCCTAAAGGAAAACGACTTCTAACCCAGATTGATGTGCCCTGCAAAACTTTTCTTCAAAATCAATGTAGAAATAAGATACTCCCATAACAAAGAACAGCTGAAGAACTTCATGACCACGAAACCAACCCTGCAAAGAATATTGAAACATTCTAGAAAAGACATAAAAATAACTACGACTTCAAGAACATCAACAGAAAAAAACCACCAAGCAGGGCACATTATTAAACAGAGGGGAAAGGTAAAGAAGCAACAGCACAGAGATAACATCACAAAAATAAGCCAATATTCAACAGTTTTAACCATTAACGGCAATGGCCTTAATTCACCAATTAAACGAAACATACTGACAGAGTGGATCAAGAAACAAAGTCCAACCATATGGACACATGTATACCCGTTAGATAGAAACCTATCTAACCCCATAGAAAATTCAGACTGAAAGTCAAAGGATGGAAAAAAACACTCCATGCAACAGGAAACCCCAAAAATCAGGGGTAGCTATTCTGTTTTCAGACAATGTGAACTTCAAACCAAGAATGATCAAAAGCTATATAAAACACGTATTAATAGAGATGAAAAATCAAATAAGCAATAACATTCTGTGTGTCTGTCCAGATGCCCCTCCTCTTAGAAGAACATCAGTTGTATCAGATTGATGACCTACAGACCCACCCATATGACCTCCTTTTATCTTGATTATATTTCCAAAATAAGCCACAATCGTGGGCACTGGCAAACAGGAGTATCTGAAGGAACTGCTAACTCAGTATTCACTGTGACTTATGTCTTCTTTACAATCTGTCCTTCTCCTCTCCTTTTCTCCATCTGCTTAAGTGAGGTGTAGTATGGGTAACTGTTTAGATAGGTCTACATACAAGAACTCTGCAATGTGCAAGATGCTACCATTACTCACCAGGGAACTGAAGCTCTTAGTCCAACAATTCGGTTCCTCAAGGAACTGAAGCTTGCTGAAAACCTTAGACTGAGAGTGGACCCATCAGCAGTGGAGCCCTAAGGTAACTACAGCCGTGGCTGATGCTCTGAGTGTACCCTTGTGAGACACAGAGCCAGCAGACCCAGCTAAGCTGTACTCAGATTCCTCACTCAGAAACTGTGAGAAAATAGTGCTTTTTGAAGTCACCACATTTTGGGTGTAATTTGTAATACATCAACAGGTAACTAATACAAAGTCTTTATCCAGAATATAAAAAAGTGTTACTCGGACCTTTTGGAATAATAAGAACATACAAAATAAGAACATACAATATCAAATACACTAAATGTTCAGCAAATGGAACTTTTACACAGTGCTGGTGCAAATGCAAATTTTACAGCCCTTTAGAAAACTTTGGCAGTTTCTCATAAATTTAAACATGTATTTCCTGTATAAACAAGCAATCCAGCGCCAGGTATTTACCACCAAAAAGAAAACTTGACACAAAGTCCTGTCTAAAACTGTATATCATAAATTTATTTGTAATTGCACAAAACTGGAAATCACCCATATACATATGGATAAACAAATTATTCCCATAAATAAATGCTATTCACCAATAAAATAAATTACTGATACATAAACAACAAAAGCATCTCAAAATCATTATTCTACATGAAATACTATAAAAGCAAAAGCCATTTACTGTATGATTCCACTTAACATGTTTTGGAAAAGGCAAAATTATAGGAACAGAAATCAGATGACTGGCTCAGGAGTTAAGAACAGGAGGAGAGGAAAGATTACAAAAGGATTTGAGAGGCTAGGGATGGAGCCAACGCTGGAGACTGTGGAGGCAGCCACATCATTGTTCAAGTCACGAACTGTGTGTCGGAAATGAACCTAACTGTATGAAAATTATATCTGCATGAATCTGACAAGGAAAATATGTTCTAGAACTCAGAATACAAAAAGGATAGTATTACCAACCAAATGTATAACGAAGTTATTCCAACATTACAAAATCAGTCACTATAATTCACTATACTAAGAAAATAAGGAAGAAAACCCACAGAGTAATCTTAATAAATGCATAAAAAGTATTTTATGAGTACAAAACCCACCACCCAATCACAGTGGGACTCTTAGCAAACTAAGAGCAGACCATTTTACTCTTAGTATTTACTTTCATAGCCTTGTACAACCCCAGGAGGGGGCAGTGTGACAAACAGTACAACTCAAGTGACAGAGTGTTAGTTCTGGATCAGGTTCCAAGACACCCTGCCATTCATGTGGTTCCCTCTCCTCCTCTAAGATCCCTCCACCTGGGAAGCAGTCTGCCTTGACTGGAGCAGACCAAAAGAGAGGCTCAGGCAGGTGGGGAGTGACATTTCTCCGCATCAGCTGCTCAGCCAGTTTGGGAGCAGCTTTGGGAGCAGCCAGCCCAGGGACACCCTCAGGAGACATCCTGGGTCAGAGCCAGGGGCCCTCTGCCCAGACTCCTGGCTCCCAGAAACCATGTGAGATAATAAATACCTGTTGTCTTCAGCTGCTGAGTTTTGGGCTAATTTGTTACACAATAATAGATAATAGAGTGCATTAAATACAAAAAGCAGAAACTACTTAGCAATGTGGTAACTAGCAGTTACCCAATCAGCAGGCGATAAGGGACAAAAGACTCCTAGAACAAAAGTAGTATGATCTTTGGGGGGGGGGGGGAATCCCGAAACATTTTTGAGAACAAAAAATACTTTAGCAAGTGGAGAGATACTCTCTCACCATCTAAACTCAATTTACAGGAACTCTAGAAATGAATACATTTAAGAAAAATATTTATGATTCCGTAGAATAGAAACAACACAAATACTCAGTGAGTGAAAAACGCGTGTTTAGGCACACTGGTGTTTATGAATCCTATAGAATTTTATAGAACATTGAGGACAGGTCTGTTTTAAATCCAAGAAATTATTAACTGAAAAAGACTTGCAACTATGTAAAATATTCACACACATAGGACAAAGAACCAAACAAACAAATCTGAAATTAAAAATTAAGGTGCTGGCTTGTTTAAGATTAGTTTTTCCATACACCACTGAGACCATAAAAATATATGTAACAAATATGTATTACAAAATGCAACAAAATAAAAACATTAACTAAAATAAAAATTTAAAGGTAGGAAAGCACAAAATCCATTTTATAAAAGTATTTTCCACAAAATAGTCAAAATAAGGAGTTTATTTTAAAAGTGGGAGATTTTGAGATCTTTAAAATTAGAAACTTCACTTATATGTTATGTATCATTACTTTTTCCAAATATGAATATAATACACGGCAACAAAACCCTTTGCTTACCAGTCTTCTGGTTTGATGGCAGCAGGATCAGGGATCTTTACTCTTTCGTCCCATTCTTCAGGTTTTTTATCATTGGGATCCTCAATTTCTCTGGGAGGATTGACAGGAGGAACTACATCTTCTAAAAGATTTCCTTTGTTTACAACTATTTGATCAATTAATATTTCAAATGTGTCATCTGGATTCATTACTAAAAAACACACATTGTATATTTATTTTTATAGACCATTTATCTTAATCATCTAACTAATAAAACTGCCTAAGCTTCATGGACAAAAGTTTAGAGGAAATAGAGGAAAATCAGATAACATAAATCAAAATATGGTGAAATTGCTAGATATGACACTTCCTAAAATAAAGATAATATTTTGTCTTAAACTGCATTTTTAACAATAAAACCCTCTATTATACCTCAGACAGGAAATATCGAGTAGTTTACTTTGTCTAGGACTCACGATCAGTCTGTCTGGAAAAGGTGTTATTATTTTTATTTATTTATTTATTTTTGTATCACTGGGGATTGAACCTAGGGCCTTGCACATGCTAGGTAAGCACTCTGTCACTGTGCTACATTTTAACCCTTTTTAATTTTTATTTTGAGACTCAGTCTTGCTAAATTGTCCACTGTGTGTCCTCAAACTTGTGATCTTCCTGCCTCAGCTTCCTGAGTAGCTAGGACTACCAGTGTGAGTCACCATACCTAACTTCTTTGGGATCTTTACATTTTTAAAAGCAACCTCAAAAAGTTGTAAGTACACTGCAAAGAACTCAGTCTTTTCCCCCTGAACCACTTGAATACATTACTGATTTTATACACACCACTTCTGAATGTTTTAACAAATAATTTCCACAAACAAGGACAGTCTCCTAAATAAACCCAACCCGGCCACCAAAACCAGGAGATTAACACTGACACGTTCCTAACATTTCAGAGATTTTTAAAGACTCAATGTCATTTCAAATTCAATGACTGCAGCACACCCTGTCTTAAAGATAATTTAAAACATTCAAGCTTGCACTTACCTATGTTTCCAGGAAAATTCTACCCTCCTAAAAGTTTCCCTGCCACAAATTTCATGAAGGACTCATTTTTTGTAATGATAAAAAAAAAAAAGAGATGTCTTTCACCTAAATAAAATTTAGGTCTTTGAAAAGGATGATGCAAACAGATGCTTAACCTTTGGTTTCAAGGAAGCAGCTGCCAGAATGATCCCGACTCAGCGAGTAAAGCGGGGAGCTGAAGAAACAGCTCTAGAGCACTCAGTCTCCAGAGGTTCCAGTCACAGCAATGACAAATCATTATAGATCAAAACGAAATCATGCAATTTACACACAAATCCAAATAATGCACACCCACACTATCTTGTCCTTTCCTTTTTATCTACTATTTACTTTTACAGCTCAGATTATAAAATTCAAAAAAGCAAAAGGAAAAGTCAAGAATGAGGCAGGCCTAGAATAAAAAAAAAAAAGTACTGCATTTTTACAAATTCCCTAAAAGCCATTCCATTCCTTAAGAAAAATCTTTAAAAAGTTCTTATAATACATTTTGCAACTTAAACTGGTTTTTGACACCAACAGTTAAAATATATATGGCAAACATGCATATGTAAAGAAAAACCTCTCAAAATCTTTGGCAAAAACAATTGCTTAGAAAATGAATTAAATATTTCAAATGACTATAATAAAAAGCCTCAGACTGTATAAAGTTTCTAAAGGTACCTTTAAGTTTCTTTTTAAAACTATATATTATAAAACGTAACGATACTACAACGTCTAAAAAAATTTAATTTAATATTCCTAGCACAAAGTTCAAGGTTTTGTAAAAGCAAGTCAGACTCAAATTGGGAGGTTCAGCCCTGCTAGTTTGTTTTCTAGGGTATCCTACTTACTTGAAATAAGGCAAGACAAAACAAAGGGATCACTGCCCAGCTCACAAGATGGTTCCAAACAAAGTGTCTATTACAGAGCAACTGATAAAGGGAAATTACTTTTTTCAAGTTTTTTCTTATTTGCCTTATTTCCCTAGTAGCAATCATAATGTGCCTACATATTAAATCTCACTCTCTCCATTTTAATATCATAGGGTTAGGACTTTTTTGCAAAATGTATGGGACCAGAACTGTTTCAGATTATTTTTCACATTTGGGAACGTGCAATGATTAGTTCTCATTGGTTGGGCATTTGTAATTTAGAAATGTGAAATACTATGAAAAAACATTTTTTTTATGAGAAAAGGTCTCACTGTGCAGTCCAGGCTGGCCTTGAACTAACTACATAGTCTAGGATGGCCATGAACTCACAGCAATCCTCTTGCCTCAGCCTCCTAAGTGCTGAAATTATAGATGTGTGTCTCCAAGCCCAGCACCCTGAAGATTTTTTGAGTGCCAACCAGAAAACTAAAAAAATTTGGCTTCTGGAGCACTGTGGATATTCAAATAAAGGACAATCACCCTGTATAAGTATTTCCGTGACTAAATGCACATAGTTATATTTGTATTATACAGAAAACTCTTGCTTTGAACTTTTAGTATTATCTTTACACATAGATCATCATGTGGATTATTTTCTTTGGATAAATTGTTGAGAGTAGAATTTTTGTTTCGAAGACCGTAAACCTGTTATGGCCTCTGATGTACTCTGTACCGCTAATTTGCTTTTGATCAGATTTAATAGTCAAATTACTTATTTTCCAATTATGGTTTCTCATTATTTCCAGTTTGTGTTTCCCAAAATGTGCAGTATTACTTTCCAACTATTTCAGAAACAAATTTTCTAGGTCATAGCTATGTTTAAAGATAAAATTGGGCACTGACTTGAAAACCTTTGAAAAGAAAACAGAGGCGACTTAATCTTGGGTAGAACTGAAACCTAAGAAAAGACAGAACCAGCTAGGCTCCCTCAGCTGTGCCCTTAGTGTAGACTGGGGCCCTGTTGTTGGAAACAGAGAAATAACCCTGTGCTGCCCTTCTCTCCCAGAGCTTTGCAACCTCTCATTTACTTAATTAAAGCTCTGGGTGTTAGCACACAGTTGCTCAATGCTTCTGGTATGTCCTGCTACCATAACAGGGTGAGACCTCACAATAGCCACAACTTCCAAAAAAGCCACAACTTCCCACAGAGCAAAGTCTAACACTTCTGCCTGGCGATTAGTATCACCTCTTGTGTAACTGGATTTCCTAGTGTCCTGTTCTTACAGCACCAAGGCACAGTGTGGTACACGTCCTCTTCCCTCTTGTCTCCCACATTCCATCTACTTTTGAAGCCAAGTTCAAATACAGTCTTTGCTGGTTTTCTCCTAGTGTCCAAGCTGAAAGTAACACTGCCTTGAACTCCTGACTGTATCTCACCAGTATCTCTCCTCTGGCACTTTGTTTTCTACCTGTGCTGACACTATCACATCTTCAAAGCAGAGAGACATTTATTTTCTTCCAAAGCAGGTGCCATGAATACATTTGTAGTCAGCAAATATTTTTGAATTAATAAATGAATTAAAGAATATACCAAGTGTATAAAGGTGAGTCTTCTTGTCTGTGAAGAATTTTTTAAGGTCTACATTTGGAGGTTTGGCATGTTTCTCTTCAAAAACTCCAGTTTTGGGATGTCTATGTCTGAAGATAAAATGAAGCTGATAATCTTCTCCGCATTTATCTGGTCCAAACATAATGGTATAAGGTGTTTTATCATAAAAGTTTTCCTTTAAAGAGAGACAGGTGCAGGTATTAGTCCTGAATTATAAAATATTTAATTTCTCTAGTCTACCCAATTGGTTAGAGTTTACAAAACGTATTAAATGCTAATTTACCAAAAAACTATTTAACATAAGTGATAATAAAGGATATAAAGAAAATGACAAATTTTATTTCAAAAAAGTTTTCTGAAAAATACACTACGTCTTTCCTGAATCCACAGATGTGAAATTATCTTAGCAATATCATAAAAACCTTTATTTACCGTATGTTAATTTTTAGGTACCATTTTATTGGGAAGTATTAGAAGACAGTATATTTATTATCTTAATACTAAGCGGATTATTATTATTATTATTATTATTCAGGAAGATGCCAGAAAATTACCCTTTTGTGTACAAAATGAAGAGATTAAGACACAAAAGTAGATGCAGAGACCCAAGCCCTGTTTGGGTAGTAATTTCTCTTTATCTGACATGGGATAGGGCTTACGAGCATGGGGTTCGGACTTAGATTCTGAAGTCCAAACACTAGCACTGCCACTTAAGACTAGCTGTGTGTGACCCTAGTTTTTACCTCTCTGTGTCTTCATTTCATTAAGTATGGAGAGAATACTTTATAGGAGAATGGGAGTATGGGAGAATATTACTGTGAGATTTCTCTGGGGATTAAGTTAATCAGATTAAGTTTTTATAGGAATGTTTAGAATTAAATTTTTTTGTCATTCTAACTTCAGGTGATCATTTTTTACATCTAAAACGAGAACTTCAACACAAATGGCTTCCCTTTTACCAGATCCTAAACGTGAGTATCACACAAAGACTTTGATCCACATTTCATAGCTTCTGCATAGATGTACAATCAGACAAGTATCTCACTGACATCCTATCTATTTAATTTTAGTTACCTGTCAAAACCTGACAAGTCTCCTGCATGAGAATGCTGTAAATGTCTCTAACCTTCAATGCATCTTTATATACTCTGTAGAATTATAAGACTATTTTATCATGAAAATTTTTTTAAAAAATTTTAAATTTTATTTGCTGTGGGCTGCCAATGCCTGAACATCTTTTTATTTGGTTTTCTGGTCACTTTATTTCACTACTTTGCTCTGGTTATGTTACCTCTCTAAATAAACTTTTGATTCTCATTTTGTAAAGAACTCTAAATGGATATTTCAAAAGCATTTATAAGCACCGTATTGTTTTTAAATTTACAGATGGGGTAGGGTTTTTATTATGCCCAATATTACAAAATTAATGCCTTCTAGTAACCTAGCTTTATATGAAACTTGTAGGAAAATTGTGAAAGCTACAAAATTTCATGTTGAAAAAAAGACATTCAAAGTTAATTCCAGTTGAAAATAAAATTAATTGTGTTAGTCCTTAAAAATACTTACTAACTTTAATAAGGTTTTCTTAAATATTAAAATATCATACCAGAATCAAATCATCAGTGTCTGCTAGGAGTTTAATGTATGCACCTCCACAATCAATACCATCTTGAAAATTTACTTCATATCTAAATGAAGGGGAAAAGAACCATACTGCTGATAAGTAAAAATTACTAATTGCTCTTGAAAATCCAATGCATTATTCTCAAGTCATTTAAATATAAATGTTTTACATAACTAGAAAGTTCACATAAGGCATATATATAACCTATAGGAAATAAGCAAAAATGCTTTTTTAGCACTGCAATACAAAGCTTGTTAAGATGTTTAAAACAGAATGATTACAATCAACTGCAGGAAAGGCAACCTATTTAGTTACACCAAAAATTGTTAAATTAAGAATAAGACACTTTGACTAAAACTTCAATAGGAAACTTCAACTTCTGGTAAGGCAAGAATTACATGTAATATAACTGAAAAAACAGAAGTCAGAAGGACCACACCTACCACACACTTCTAAGAAATTGTTGATGATTTTAGGTATCTAAATCATCTTCTGGTCCAACCTATACCTAGGACACTTTAACAAACTGTATACTTAGTTAGCCCCACCAAAGATACTTCATAATCTTAAGAATATTTCAGATCCAAAGGGCGAGGAAATACAAGAACTCTTATCTGTTTAGTATAACAGCTTAAAAAAAGTAATCTGAGAGTCATCTTATAGGTTTAAGTGTAGTGTAACTCTTGACAAAGGTTTTATTTGTATTTTAAGAAACTAGCTTCACTAGGACAATGAAACACACAAGACATTTTTGATAAATTGATAAATTATATGTGACAAAAATCAATGAGAAGCCAGGCGTGGTAGCGCACTCCTGTAATCCCAGCACTTGGGAGGCTAAGGCAGGAGAACCATTTGTAAGTTTGACACCAACGTGAGCTACAAAGTAAGTCCAAGGCCAGTCTGCACTACATAGGGAAACCCTGTCTCAAACAAACAAACAAATAACAAAAAAATTAATGTGAAAACAGTAAAAATTAAGTTATGATTTTGTTAAATGGATTAAAATAAAAAGATGAAAAACAAGCAATAGAAGATTGTGGCAATCTAATTAAGGAAGTTATTTCTGAAGAAACTGCAGTGCAAAGATGAAAATAGTAGCATACACAAATTTCAGCTTGGATTACGTTAATGTGTATATTTTGTATTACAAAGAACAGAAGAAACAGCAAAAACTCAAGTGATTATTTCTGACTTGTCAGATGATTTCACCCTGTCCTTCTGATATGCTTTGTTTCTCAAGCTGTCTAACATAACTACCAGTAACATATATATATACATATTTTTTTTTGAGGCAAGGTCTCTCTGTTGCATAGGCTGGCCCCAAATTACTAAGCTTAAGTGATTTTCCTATTTCAGCCTCCAGAGTGGCTAGGAGTACAGGTACACATGGTGGTGCCCAGCTAACATACATTTTCACATCCAACTGGCACAAGTCATTCTTGATCTGCCACTTAATCTAGGGAGCACAAGTTACTATGCTCTATTTGCTCATGTATATTACAGAAACACCACCCAAACCTATTCCTTACAGGACTATTAAGATGACTGAAAGATATCATGCATAATAACACGCATTTACTTTCATTATGATCAGAACAGACTTCCTTTAAACTTATTTTTTAAATAAAAGATTGTCTCAAAGTCTTACCCTTTATTTTAAACAAATAGCTGACAAATTTTTTTTTATCAGTACCGGGGATCGAACTCACGACCGCCTGCTTGTGTGGCAGGTGCTTATGCCGCTGAGCTAAATCCCCAGCCCCAGCTGACAAATTTTTTCATTAAACTTATATGTTTTTGAACATTATAAAACAGAAGACATGGGACACAATATGACTTAAAGGTCACTATTTTTAGGAAACATAAAAAGAGACACTGCTTTGTTATAGGTGATTTAAGGACAAAGGGTTCCATAAAAAAGGCAGAGACTAAAAAGAGCAATTTTGTAAGTTGATTCTTTAAGTGTAAACATAGCTTTGCTGTCCTATTATGTTTTGAATAAACCCTCTGTCCATTTTTTACACTACAAACTTTCAAAGTTTTCAAAACATTAAACTTGTGACTAGTATAAATAATTCACAATGAATCAAAGAGTCAGTAAAAATATATAATTTGATGTGGCTAACCTTTAAACCATAGAAAAGCTGAGGGCGTATGCAGAGTAAATGTGTTAACCGTAAGTTCTCTGCAGTATCATTTCCAGTAGTACCCTATGAAACACTAATCACTGTTAAGAGGAAAGATAAAGTTACATGATCAAACATATTTGGGAAGCACAGCATTGAAGTTTTTACCTATAGAACCTATCATCACCACCATCAAAATCATCACCGTCATCATCACCATCTGCCCTCTAGCATTCCCAGCTGTGATGAGCCATAAGCCAAAAGGCACTCACACGGTGGGGAGGACTGAGCAGAGGGTCTCACCAGTGTTCACTACTGCCAGGGACACCTGAACTGCTGCTGGAGATGTCTGCACCCCTCTTGGGTGAGGTCCAGTTTAGAAACCTGCAGAGAATACAACCACACACACTGTGCCCTCCCCTCCCTGGAATACTGCCATCTTGACATCCTGCCCATCTGTGGGCCCAAAAGGAGGTGTGTGGCTCCTGCACAGAGCCTGCTCTAGGCAGACTGCCCTGAGCGCCTCACTTGCCCAATGCCTTTCCAAAGAAGCAGAACCTTGAACCCTGGTGACAGACTACCCTTCAGCCAGCGAAGCCACAACACATCTGCCCTGGGCTGGAAATCAGCAAGATGAGAGTAGAAATTGTATTTTTATAAATTTTAAAAATACATGGAAACTTAACAAACATGCTCTTGAACAACCAACTGGTCAATAAAGAAACTAAAAGAAAAATGTAAAATACCTTGAAACAAACGAAAATGGAAACATGACCTGCCCAAACTTTTCGAATATAGCAAAAGCAGTGCTGAGAGAAATTTGTAGCAAGCGCCCACATCATAAACACAGAAACAGGTCACATAATCAATCAATCAATCAGTCGATCGATCAACCAATCAATAATTTAAAAAAAACAATGGCTTAATGCTTGCAATGTTTGGTGTTTAATTGACTTTGCAAGTCCAAAGCATCTATTTACAGGATAACAATATGCAATATAGCAACTATGGGGGGTTTCTTCTAAAAGTGGTGGACACTTATAATTCCCTATTGTTTTAATGTCCTGTATTGTTTTCATTATTTGGTTTAGTTTTATTCTGTTTCGTTTTACTTGATTTTATTATATCTGATGGCATGGGTAACTATTTCCAAGATAATAATAATAAGATATATTATGGTAGCCATTATTGATTTCCTATTAGCTTGTTTTGAAGTACTATATCACTCTCATTGTTTTGTTTTGGTTGGTTTTAGTCTGTTCTGTTTTGTTTGATTTTATTATGTCTAATGGTATGGCAGCTACTTTAAAGATAATAAAAGGCATTATGGTAGCCATTGTTGATTTCCTATTATCTGGTTTTGAAGTTCTGTGTCACTTTCACTGTTTTGTTCTGATTGGCTTTATTCTGTTTTATTTTCTTTGGTTTTATTCTCTTTAAAATAAAATTTAAAAACTAAAAATAAAAAAAAAATAAATAAAAAAAATAAATAAATAAACAACCTGTCACTGCATCTCACAGAACTAGAAAAACAAAAACAACCCAAAATTAGCAGAAATAATAAAGAGCAGAGCAGACATAAGACAAAGATTAAAAATTTATGTACATGATCAATGCAACAGAGGTCTTCAAAAAAATAAAATTAACAAACTTTAGCTAGACTAACACTAACAATAATGATGACAACAGCAGCAATAGAACCCTGGGTAAGTAAAATTAGAGCTGAGAAAAGAGACATTGGAGTCTTTATAACTGACAGCACAGAAATACAGAGGATCATTACGGAATAGTAAAAACAACCATACAACAACCAATTTGAAAACTTAAAGGAAATTAGTAATTTCTTGACACATATACCTTACAAAATTTGAACCATGAAGGTACTAACAACCTGAACAAAACAGTAGTAGATTGATAGCTGTATTGCTGAATTTTATAAAACTTTTAAAGAATGACACCAAAATCATCTCAAACTTTGCAAAAAACTGAAAGAGGAAGTTCTCCCAAACCAATTCTACAAAGCTGGCATGTACCTGATATTGTAGCCAGACAAAGATGTACACACAAAAGGAAAACTACAGACCCGACACGTCTGATGAACCCAGATGTAAAATTTCTCAACAAAGTCTTACCAAACTGAATCCAACAGTGTAACCATAAGATCATGTGCTATCATCAGATGGGATTCCTCCCAGGAATGAAAGGGTAAGTCAATACACACAGATCAGTAAGTATTATATGGTGCATAAACAGAATAAAGGACAAAAACTGCATGATTCTATCAGTGTATGCAAAAAAAAAAAGTGTTCAATAACAGTGAACTCTCTTTGATAAATATCCTCAAAAAACCAGACATGAAAGGTGCGCACCACAACGTTCTAAAAGCTATGTATGCCAATACTACAGCTAATATCATACTTAATGGGGAATATATCCACAAACAAAGATCTGGAACAAGACACTTCCAGTATTATTATTCAATATAGCTCTGGAACTGTTAACCAGAGCCTCTAGTCAAGATAGAGAAATAAAAGCAAGGCATGGTGGCACACATCGGTAATCTCAGCATGTGGGAGGCTGAGGGCAGAAGGACTGCTGTGAGTTCAAGGCCAGCCTGCACTCTACAGAAAGACTGTCTCAAAAAAGAAACAGAAAAAGAGAGAAAGAAAAAAAAAATAAAGATCATCCAAACAGGAAAAAAGGAAATGACAGCATCCCTATTTGTAGGTAGCATGATTTTTATATATGTAAAAACCTAAGACTACAGTTTTTTTGAACTGATACAGTCAGTAACTATGCAATATACAATAACATACAAAAATCAAGAGATTTTTAAATATGAATAATGAACTTGCTGGAAAAAAATCTCATTTAAAACAGCCACAAAAATAAAACAAATTGCCTAGGAATAAATTTATCGAAATGAATGAATGGTCTTACAACAAAAATTAAAAACACTGATGAAAAATATCAGAGGACATAAAAAGAGGAAAGATATCCTATGTTCATGAATTAGAAGAATATTGCTAAAATGTCCACACTACCCAAAACAATCAAAGGATTCAAGCAACATCAAAATATCAATGGCAAAATATCTACTGCATTCTTCATAGAAATGCATAAAACAGTCGTATAACACACAAAACTTCAAAACCCTTAGCAAGCAAAAAAAAAAATGCTGAGGTATCCTAATAGCTGACCTTTTAAAAACACACTATAAGCCAGTGGAGGTGAACCTACAGCACACGTGCTACAGTGGGATTGTTTTTTTAATCACTGAAAATGCTAAAATGTTTGCCACCTCTACTATAAGCTATAGTAGCCCAAATGACAGTGTACTGGCATAAAAACTGACATATCAATCAATGGAATAGAAAAGACAGCTTAGAAATAAACCCTCCTATCTTTATTCAACTAGTCTTCAACAAAGGCATCAAAAATATACTGGGAAAGGAGAGTCTCTGCAACACATGGTTTAAGAAAACTGGATGTTCATAGGCAGAAGAATGAAACCACTTCCATTTCTCACCATATTAACTCAAGATCAACTCAAAATGTATCAAAGACAAAAATGTAAGATTTGTAACCCTGAAACTACTAGAATAAAACATAGGGAAGTACCAAGAGACATTGAAGCAATGACTTTTGAATAAGACCCCAGAAGCCCAGGCACAAATAGGCACGAGATTATATCATGCTAAGATACTTCTGCATAGCAAAGGAAACAACACAGGGAAGTGACGACCTGAGACTCAACTGAGGTGTGATTCATTAGACACCTGGACAAAGCAAATGTGGTATAAATACATAATGAAATGTTATTCAGCCAAAAAGGAATGAAACTCTATCACTATGGCAACATGGATGAACTGGATAAGCCTGGTCCCAAAAGATAAATACTGTATGCCCTTTTTATATTAGAAAGCCCCAGTGTTGATTTCATAGAAAAGTAGAGGATCGAAAGGGTGGAGAGGGGCTAGAGGGATGCTGGATGACAAGTATCAAACACCGAGGAATAAGCTCTGGTATCCTAAGCACAAGAGGGTGATCGTTGTTTACAACACTTTACTATGTATTTTATAAAGAACTATGAAAGAGGAGTTCAAGCGTTCTCAACACAAAAAATGATAAATGTTTAAGAAGAGAAATGCTAAATTACCAAGAGTTGATCATTACATATGTATACATATACTGAATTATCACTGTACCCTATAAATATGTATAAGTATAAAAATTCAAGTTGAACTTTTAAAAAGGTGTTGAACAGGGAAAAAAGATTACAAAATTGCTACCATATAAAATAGGTTAAAAAAAGGTTTCAAATTTCAGAGCACTCTAGGTGATCTGGAGGGACAGATGATATATATGCCTAAATTAACTTTAGATAGTAACAATTTCTGGTATAAAGCAGACAGTTAACATGTATGTAGTTTCTTCTCTTTGTGATTTAAATGTTATGAGTCTTTTTATTACCCTGACTTCATGGCGGTTTAGCTGAAGTCAGCTTGAGCAATTTATACCTGCTTTTGTAACAGTACACATGTAAGCAACATCACTACTTCAACGCTGGGAGGAGAGGAGTCTGTAACATTAGACTTTTAAAGGTGTGGATACTGATCTGTGTTCCACATTCCCTTTTAAAATAAAACTTGCCCTTTTACACATGTGTACGTGTGTACGCAGTGCTAGATATTAAACCCAGAGACGTGTGCCTACTAGGAAGGTGTTTTACCACTGAGCGCCATCCTAGCCCTCTGCCTGTAAGTCTTGAGACAGGTTTAGAAGCATTTGCAGATCCATTCAGAATACAGTGATGATAATATCTCAATAGCAAGTAAGTTTAAGAAAAGAGTTAACAATGATACTTTAACTGTGCGCTATATAGTTTCCAGTGACAGAATTATATGTTAAAGAATAATTTTATCATCAGTCTGCTTTTCACTGAAAAACCTATGTACATATATATCTCTACATCAAAATCCAAGCTATATTTAGATGTCAAACTACACCAAACTAATATGGAAAAAGTATCAGAAAAGGTATTCAAAACAAACTTACTGAACTACCAAAGGTTTATCAGCAAATACAAAGGATTTTGCTAGCGTAGCTGATATTGCATGATGTCTTGCTCTAGATTTCAATACCAATCCTCTGTCACCAGGTACCTGGTTTTCTTTTAGCTCTTCTATTTCCCATCTTCCTAGAAAACAAAGCAAAATGCATTAAACTGAAACACAAAACACTGGCTTGAGTATTATTTATGAGTAGTGTTATAGAGTAATTTTTTCCAGGAAGATTTGAGAAAAAATATTACCAATTTGCAAGTAGTATTTGCAACTCTATATATAGTCTTTTTGCTTTCCTTTTTCCCCTATCCAAAAATGGTTTTGATAATAAACATGATAGCATCTGATTAACATACTTCTAAAGGAAGATTAGTCTGGTTTCCTCTCCAAATTTTATCTATGAATATGGAATTTTTAAAATGAGATGTTTAAAATTGCATATGAAAGTGTGTCCTTAACACAAAATAGTTTGTATCCATGTAAATTTACTGTATTTTGAAATGTATAGTACTCATCAGCTGATTGTCTTATAACATTACAATGTTTTGTTTTGAAAACTGTATTTCACTCTCGAAAACCTCTCCCACACTGTGCCATGCAGCTCTCACAACTCTGGGCCAGGAAAGTCCGAGGTAAGGTCTAAATTAGCAGGCAGCAGAGTGAGAGGCCCCATCTGCGCTGGAATTGCCCATGTTTAAGATCACAGTGGTCCTGCAGTCAGTCATGGGGTCCAGAGCACGGACAGCCACATGGGCTCCCTGCAACTCGAACACTGCATGTTGGGAGTTTATTCCTTTATGCTTTTAAGAATCATAAGCCAACTTATATTAACTTGTATAAAACTGAGTTTTGAAAATGATAGCTATTATCTATAATTGAGTAAACTATAATTGAGTAAACATCAGCAAAACATTTTTTATTGTGTCAACTCAAAATACTGAGTACTTTGGAATCACTAATGCTTTTTTTGGGGGGGCGGATACTGGGGATGGAACTCACAACCTTGTGCTTACCAGGCAGGTGATTACACCACTGAGCTAAATCCCTGGCCACTAATGCTTTTAAATTACTTTCATTTAAAAAATAACACAACAATGCAAGAGCCAGAAGTCATATGGATCAATGGGTGATTTTTGGTCTATCACCATGTACATGTAGTTATTGGATTTCTACAAATGTTTTCAAAAATCCTTTTCAGTTCCCTGCCCCAAACTGGGTCATATTATATTTTTTAAAAACAAACTTTTTTTTAACGTAGTTCTTATTCTCTCATATTACTACTAAATCCCCCTTAAGTCCTAATTTAAGTAGTAACAATTTTGCTTTCTTAGCTTTTCAAGACAGTAAAGGACTTTTAAAACTATGCTTTGAAATGCATTTCATGTGTATGTAAAATGTAATTAAGTATATATAAAAGTGTTTTATCAACTATGAAAAAAGGTAACACTATTTTTAGAAAACAAGGTAATTTTCCATTAGAAGACAGTTTTTCCTTATTTCAAATAAACTATAACTTTTTATTAACCAGATCATTTACTTAAATTCTAGACATTAGAGTTATATAAATTTCCTAGTAAGTAAAAATTTAGAGAGACTCTACTTTCCTTTATAAGGTTTCCTGAAAGCTGGTCAGTGAAAGAACTGGAACTGATCTATACTTAAACATCTATACTTATTAATAATGATTTGAAAATTTTAAATACTTCTCTGCCAAATGTGCACCTCATATTGCAGTACTTAATGTTTCTCACCTATCCACTTATTCCTGAAACAATTGAAAAGAACTCTCCCCAGGTGGTACTGGATAGTTCCCGTGATTAACTACTGTGAATACAAAACATTCTTGCAGGAGGGATTTAGCTCAGTGGTATAAGTGCCCACCTGACAAGCACTAGGTTATGAGTTCCATCCCTGGTACCAAGACAGCCTTGCAAAGAAAGCTGATCCTGGATTAAACTAGCAGCGTTGTAGATAAATACTGCTAATATCAATTACCAAAAGAATGATATTCAGAACCTGGAGCTTTTAAAATATTCCTATTTTTCAAAGTTGCTTTTAAGAAATGGAAAATGTCAGCCAGGCATTAGAGCTAAATGTAATATGCTAGAAAATCTTTTGTGATAGTCTTTAAAGACTATCACAAGTCTTTAAAAACTGCAAAGTCAAGGAAAGAATATATAGAAGGTGATGTCACTGAATTTCAGTTGCTTATCTACATATTTCAGTAGTGTTATAGCTCAAGAAATTGTGTGATATTTATAAGCACTCTGCATGTGCAAACTCAGCAGCATTTTCGTATTTGTTGAAATAATTTGAAGGAAGTTATTTACTTGAATATTTAATATTTAATAAGACACCAGAATAAACTTGCCTGGTTAAAAGATGTCTGCTTTTACTTGCTTGTTTTTAAATTTTAAGCTGGAGGAAAAAACTCAAACCCTAACAGCCATTTTTATCTAGTAAGAAATAGCTATTTAAAACTTACCCTTAAGATGGACCTTCTCTTAAATTCAGGGATACCCCACTAGTGGATTCTCATTAAATGTAAAGCAATTATCTACCCAATGTTCTTGGAAAAAGCTAAAAAGTGCCTAAACATAGCTATATGAAGTCAAGACTTCTGTGTGGTGCTGTTTATCTAGGTTTATTTTAGGCGGCACTTCGTATCTCTGCAGATTCACTGCTTCTTTGGCAGAAATAATTCTTTTCTCTAAATGGATTTAGAATAAATATGCTATTTGTTCTCTGTGCACGGAAGTGTTCTTTTTGGAACTGCACAGGCATACCCAATGGGAGGGACTGCTTGAGTGTTATGTAGGCATGGTCTTTATCTTACACTGAAACAGAAACTGAAAAAAAAAAAAAAACCTGGAAAGGTGACCTCCAGCACATGCTATTAGCTGTCTTGCTGTTTTTTTGATGCAACTGCTTGCTGAGGTCTGAGTGTGAGGTCCTACTCTTATAGGCAAGTCCTCTGAGAAAGAAGAAATTCCACTATTACACATCTTGAGAAGAGATGGATCATCCTTCAGGATACTACAACTAGAAGGAAGAAATTCTTTTGTCTTTCTCCAGAATGATTCAGTGAGGGAAGCAAAGATGGCTCTTGCACAAGGGGCTTTTCTCTGTACAACTAAGCCTGAAGATAATGCTATTAGAGACTTGTGATAACCCACGCAGGCCTATCTTCTACCTCTTGGTACTTGATAGAAAAATCTTGCTGGAAATCATAATTTAATCTAAGTGTGCCCAACATGAAGTGAAAATACAAAGAGCAACAGGAGTCTAAGAAGTGTTGCTTCAGAAATGAAAAAGACCAAAGGCAAGGGAGTAAAACTGCACTGCTTTACAGTTAAAAAAGGGGATGGTGGCCTGTTTCTAGAAAAACCTTCCTGAAATACTGAAAGGGACAAGATAAAAGTCTGAATATTTTATGGTGAAGCACAAGACAGCCTCCGCCTAATGTAATTTGGTCAAAATATGTCTAAAGCTATTGAACCTTAGATCACATAGTGTATAATATTTAAATATTTTACCATCATATTTAGAAACCTCAGCATCTGTATCATCTTTCTTCGCTTTTGATAAGACCCACCTGCAATTAAAGTTGAAAACACGTTTACTATTAACAACAAAATTAGCACCTTCAGACACAACGCATATTACGAACACCAGGTATATCCAACCTCATTATATTTCATTCAAGAATAAACTAATAGGATGTCTAAATAATCCTGTAAAGTTAAACCAAGTTTGGAACTTTCAGTGTGCAAGCTGCATGATCACAAGTAATGCACACTACGGTTCAGTTTCTTTACCCTTAACTGGTAATTGTAGGCAGCCCTTATCCACCTACTCAGGACAGTGTCTGGCACATAATAATAAATATTAACTTTCAGTGTTTTGCCATTATTTTGTCATTATTTATGTTGGAGAATTAACTCAAAATTTTTACCTGGGCTTACATTGTTAATACTTGGCCTAGAGAATAAAAAACCTGTTATATTTTCTCTCTTTACATTCAGAATTTACTTCTATCTTTTTGTACAAATGAATATTCAAGGTAAATATTTCTACCAATAATGAAAATATATGAAGTATAGGCTTACACTGTTAAGTCCTTGAAAAATCCTTATGCATCTGAAGTAGAGCTAATGCTCACAGGCCAATAGCCAATAACTTCAAAAAATCTAATCAAACCAAGAACGGAAAGATTCTCTTCAGTGAATACTTACCCAGCCAAATTCCCATTATCAAAGGTTTCTGTAAAATATACTTCTCCTATGGGCTGAGGTGTCTGATACTTAATCTAGAAAATAGAATTTTAAAAATTTAATATTACTCATCTTTGCAAATATTAAATAGTCTTGTTAGTTAAGAACTAACTATATGACACACATACAGATAACACAGCTATGATGTGATACAGGCTCTGATCTCAAAACTTTATAACAGTAATGGTAGGATAGACAACATAATTAATACCATTATGAGAAAAATACTATCTGTCTGCTATGATTTGAGTCTGGATGTTCCCTCAAAGTCTCACACAGTCATGGATGGAAACAGGCTTCTAGAGTTTGTGAATGACTCATGGTCCAACATTGGGATTATTTATGGGTGAGAGTGCCACACCCAAGTGGGTGTGGCCTACACACAATATCAGGGACAGAACAGGGGCATCTCTCTGCTCTCCTCACCCTTTGCTATTGCTACTTGTGCTGTTTTCCACCGCTGTGAACTGTTGCCCTCTGCCATGTGCCGCTCTGCTTTGGAGCCAGCTGATAATGGTCCAAAACCTTCACAAACTGTGACCTAAATAAATCTTTTCTTCTTTAGCTTTGGGTGTTGGGTATTTTGTCTTAGCAATGAGAGAAAAGTAACCAAGATAATGTCCAAGCAGAGGACACACTGACCTCTCAACATCAAGGGAATGGGAGGAATTAGAGAACATTTGATAATACATTTGATGTGCTTTTGTTTTCTCACAAAAGATCATCTTTGGGGATTGTAAAAATCATGAGACACAAAGGAAACACAATGAAAATCATATAAAATAAAAAGCCTGGTGAATATATAGGCCAATTTAGAATTCATATTTCACTATAAGGGGACTTAAAGACAATATCATTTTCAGAGATTAGGATCAGAGAGAGGAAAAATAGCACCGCGAAGCATGTCAGCATTGGCTGGTGCTGGAGGTACTATGGCGGCTCCTCCCGCCCTCCAAATACTTCTGTGAAGGAAGTACCAATACGGTCCCATTTTATATCTTATCAAACTGTGAGAAAGCAGTAAAGTAACTCACCGACTGTCAATCTAAACTGCAACACTACGTTGGAGCTCAGATTGTCTGGCTCCATACACTCAGCCATACTACAGTATCCAGAAGTTACCAAGTGAGTAACTTTGAAGATGAATTTATTGACAAATTATTAAAAGATAACCTGAACTGTTGATGAAGGAACATTTTGCATGAAGTAACAAATCAGTCTGATCCTTTCTGAATTAGCCTTTTGTCTGTAAGATTAGTTTAAGATTTCTTCTCAGCCTTCAAAGGATGCAGAAGGTTTCTTTCCCTATTTTTATAAATGCTCCCCTGACCAGATAGCACATTATTTCCTAACTGTTTAAGGGAAGAAAAGCAGTCTTTAAACAAAACTCCACATAATTACTGAAAAGGTCAAAACTCAGCAACCAAAACTTCCAGTCTTCTCTGGAGTTTACTCATTCACAACTTTACTGTTTTCTATTTTTGTAGTTTGGCAAAATGGGCAATGGTGTCACAAGAGGCTTCTGTCTGTTACACTACCCTTAAAGTCATCAACAGTTTGTTTTGCTCTTTAGCTGTACTTTGCCATCTCTTGATTACCCCTGTTAAATTAGAAACATTAAAACTTTTTCTTTTCCAATTCTTAGGGTCTTCTCACTAAATATAGAATGGAGTGGTAAGCATCTGTCAACTTATTCAAAGCATGAGTTACCCTCTAAAGACCCTTGGAGTGGCCATAGCTAAGTCAGTTCTTAGCACTTTGAACACTTTGTAGATCAGAGAGCCCAGTTTTACAACAAATGGTCTTGCAGGATAGTCATTTCAACAACTAAATAACACTTACAGTATTTGCCAAAAAAGCCAATAAAAATAAATTATGACTCCCATTGGAGTGTCGGGCACAATACAATGAACACTTTTTCACCACTAAAAACATTTCTGCTTGATACAACAGTGGGTCCAAATGCCCCTCAGTGTGAAAACTCATGAACTGTCAAGGTGGACCCAAATCTCCTCAAAGTTCCCTGAAACACGCATCTACACAGCGCTGAGCCAGAAAGCTGGATCAATCTTATTGAACACCTGTTCATCATCTCTTCCTTTTCTAACAGCCTTCTTGTTAGCACTGCCTTTCTTTGGAGAAATAAAGCCACTTATTTTATTTCTTGAAGAACCACAAATTGTATTACCTCTTATTTTATCTGAAAAGGTCTGGCAATATCAAATAAAACTAAAAACTTTACTGTTAGCTAAAGTATTTAATTTGGGAAGTACTTTGGTTTGTTTGTACCAACTCTTGACCTTGCACTTGCCAGGCAAGTGCTTGTGCCACTGAGCTAATCCCCGGCCCCAGGACTTAATTCTGTTCAACCAATAGTGAACTTCTAATTTGACAGTAAAATCCTTTCATACATGTTTTTAAATAAAACTACAAGGTGTCATACACATATTTCTTTTGGATGTAGGCACTCTTAAAAAAAAACATACAGCAACAAGACAGTCAGGAAAAGTGTTCTATTTACTTGGAAAATGAAGACAATTATAACTGAAATTAATCCTAAGAGATCACTGCCAACTATATATCTTGTAAAAGAATAATTTAAAACTCATGTCTCAATGACTTTACCTGTGAAGAATTTTCAATTTCAACATCAACCTCATCTGAATTTCCACCAAAGTCTTCCACCTCGACATCACCATTCATAAATTCTGCATTAACTGAGATGAGTAGAAGACCCAAATATAGTCCAAAGCCTGAGAAATACATACTGGTAATCTGTGAAATGAAAAGTGAGCAGTGAAAATAAATTTGTGAAAGATATATGTTAAATATGGTAGAAAGAAATTACATATCGTTATACTTCCTTTATTCTAAAATGGTTTTTTAATGAATTAACAAAATTATTTAAAGTGTGCCTTCAACAAATAAAATATAAACTTTAAATCTTTTAGTAAACAAACTCTACAGCTATTAACTTTATGAAAACAGAGTCAGTGGCATAAAACATACAGCGATTGTCAAATTCAAGTAGGCCCTTTTAAAAGAAAAAGCTAGGCATGATAGCACAGGCTTTTTATCTCAGCACTTTGGGAGGCTGAAGCAGGAATGAGGCAAGAGATTAGGGACTGGCAAATTGGCAGGGCAACCAGGTGTGACCTGTCACCATAAAGAGCTGTCAAACCATAGCTAATATTGGCTGGACATCTGGGAGTCAGTCACCTGGCAATCATGAAGAGCAGTCATGCCAGCTCAGCGCTGCATGGGAATGTCCAGTTCTAACTTCAAAATAAAAGAGACAGCAGCAAATCGCAGCAGCCCCTCCATTTCCCTTCTTTATTATCTTTTTCATTTCTTCTCGTCAATAAACGCTACAGTTACATTAATCGGTTGTTTCTGGCCAATTGTTTGAACAGAACAGAGCCTGGAAGCACTGGACACCACACATTCCCACAACAGGCGCACCACAAGCCTGGAGTCCCACCTGGACAACTTGGCAAGACTGTCTCAGAATAAAAACAAGTAAAAAGCATTGGGGATGTAGCTCAGTACAAGACTTTGGGTTCAATCGCCACTGCCACAACATAAACAAATAAAATTTTAAAAATTATGATTCTTAAATGTTCAATTAAATTGTTTTCATTAAAATGTTGCTTATGTGTATATGTACTTTTGTAACCTTATAAAAGCAAAATACATTTACATGCAAACACCAAAATACTAAAGAAAAAGGATTTAATCACACAAGTGATATGGAAGTGTTTTGTCAAAATTAAAGCAGAGCTGAAAGATCAAACAAACGTGCGCTCACTGCCACCAAACTGCGGCTGCAGCCCTGAAAAAGTTATTTTGTATTTATCGCTCTCTCCCTTTCCCCCTCCCCTCTCCACCCACTCATCTCTCCTGAGCTTGGTTACTCCGGGCTTTCAAACCCTAAGCAAGTGCCTCCGCCTCCTGGGTCCCGCAGATGCTATAAATAAAAGCAGCTAAAGTATCTGATTGATAGTAAACAGACCATAGGAGATAATGAGTCTCCGGTAATTAGAGCTTCGTTGGATCCAAGTCCGCCCTTCCGCTGTGTCCCCAGGGGCGCATCCCAGTCTCTGAGCAGCCCGGGGAGTGGCCCAGCGTTGCTGGTCACTGTAGCGGTGAGGGTGGGGTGCCATGGCTTTGCAGAGGTGGGTGGCCTTGCGAGCCCGGCCGAGCCAGCGTCCCCGCGCCCACTCCACCCTTCCAGCACGCTGCACCTCGCACCCCGCACCCCGCGCCCCGCGCAGAGCAAGCGCTGAGCTGGCCAAGCAGCAACCGCCGGGATAACAGACGCGGCCCGCGGGGACCCGGGCTGAGCAAGGCTGAGCACCGACGTCCCCACGCCGCAGGTGGACACGGCCCACGACCCACGGCACAGCCCACTCTCCGCACCCAATCTCCGAACTCCACACCCTTCCCTTCTCGACTTTTGCAGTCTCAAGGGAAAGGGGTGCGGGGTCAGGAACCCCACCTTGGGCGAAGCAGCAACGTCTCCAATCCTTCACCTCAGCCAGAGCGCAAGGGGGAGCAGGAAGGCGGCCGGGTGCTCACACACCTGTGCTGCCGGCTTTTCGGGAGTGACAGCTCAGGTGTCCGGCTCTCGGCCACTTGTTCCAACTTGTGGGTGGGTCTCCTACCACCGATCGCGCAGGGGCTGCACCCGGCGACTGTTAACCGCGCGTGTGCACGCGGCTACAAGCCGGGCAGCGGCGGCCGCCAAGCGCTGGTGAGGCGCGCACGTGCAGCGCCCGTTCAACTGCCTCGAGCGCGCCGGGCCGTCCACGCCACGCCACGCCACGCCCTCGCCACGCCACGCCCTGCCACGCCCCGCGCGCTGGAGGCCGGAGCCTCCACCTCTAGGGTGGGTTCCGGGTGCAGACTTTGTTCTTTCTCCGAAGACTCTTTCTCCTGCGCGCCTGCGCTCCTTCATGCTGTGGTTCCACCTGTGGCTCCACAACCTGGTTTTGAATTTTATTTATATCGTGCTTGCGAAAGGCATCTACCGCTCTGGGCTTCTTGTAGAGTTCTGTATTTTAAGGAGATGAGCCGTCGTGGTGGTCAGCAGAAAAGCTTCCTATTTCACGTGTTTACTCTGTTAGCATAATAAATATATATGAAAATATTTTCTTTTACAACAGTGTTACAATGATTTATGCGGACGCATTTCCTTGTGCTTCTTGTGATATTTTCAACCTTCGTTTTTGGTACGAGGAGTTATAGAAATGTGTTGGGCGCAGGTGCTCAACATACCATACCCCACCCGGGACTAAGGACCACGCCAGCTTCCGCAATGCACTATGTCCCTCTCCAAATTAGCCACCCCGTGCTCACTTCGTATTCACCACAGCTGAGTATATTAGCCAGAGCCCGCATCTCATTCCAGCCCTTCCTCCTAGTGGCAGCCCTCGTGGCAGCCTGATTGGCTACAGTCAGATATATAAGCCAGAACCCACAACAATAAAGTTGGCAGTTCCTGTTACCCACCTGAAGCGTCGCCTGTCTCATTGGGGAGCTGCGCCCGTCAGAAATGTGTGTGAACAGACTAAGGTATACAAAAATAATACCACTGGGGCTGGGGATTTAGCTCAGTGGCATAAGTGCCTGCCTTGCAAGCAGGCAGTCGTGAGTTCGATCCCTGGTACCGATAAAAAGGAAAAAGACAAAAAAAAAAAAATCCCATTGTTCATCAAAATTGACACTTTCCACACCCTGGATTTAGGATCCATTAATCATTTTTATCCGAACAGTGCTGTTCTAAGCCATCTTCTTTTTGCATTAGGCAACATTCTATTAAAAAAAAAAAACGTTTACTTATCCATCATCTATATGCTTTATTTTATTGGTTTTTTCCCCCATTACTGAGGATTGAATCCAATGCCCTTGTGAAGCTACATCAGACATGTCCCCTTTTTAAATTTTTATTAGAATTTTGCTAAGTAACTATATTTATTGTTAGAGTGAACCCAATCTCCTGCCTCAGCCTCTCAGAGTTGTGGGATCACTCGTGTACCCCACCATCTCTTCATTGTTGGATGAGTTTTAATTCGTTACTGCTTTTCATTGTGTCCAGCTGTCCCAAATTTGGTCAGTGGAAGTCTCTTCAATCTGGTTCCTGTGTCCTTTTTGACATATTTCCACCATTGTTTGACATTTATTGAAATATGCTTAACATGCAGTTTGATGACTTTTGACACAGCAAACAACTAACAATCACCTACAAAGGCTTCCTTGTCCTCTAAGCCATCACAGATTTGTTTTATGTCACTATTTGATTATATTGTATTTCACTTAAATTTATTTAAGTGGAACTATTTAGCATGTGCTTTTATTTTGGTCTGGCTTCTTTCAATTGGCATAATTACTTTAAACTCCATCCATGTCTCTGTATCTGTTGATAGTTTGCTTTCTGTTGCTATCTTAGTAACTTTCTCATTGCTCTGACAAAACACCCAACACCCACAAGTTAAAGAAAGGTTTGTTTCAGCTCAATTTGTAGAGGTTTCTGTCCATAGTTAGCTGACTCAAAAGCAGGGCAGCAGGGCAGAGGGGCATGGCGGAGGAGAAAGAGTCCATGGCAGGGTTGCAGAGGGCAGCAAGCAGTAGACTCCTTTTTCCTTTTGTACCATCCAGGCTACAATCCTATTAGTTGGTATCACCCACACCCGGGTTGAGCCTTGCCATTATCCATACCCAGAACTACGCTAAACCCCTCAGTGGGCTAATTTAATTACCACACCCTAGTCCCTGCTCATACACTTTAGATCCAGCCATGTTTTTGTTACTTGTCTCATTGTTGCTGAAACAAAATACGCAACACCCAAAATTAAAGGAGGAAAGTTTTATTTAGCTCATAGTTGGTAAAGGTTTCAGTTCATAATCAGCTGACTCCAAGGCTTGGCAGAGTGGTATCCTAGAGTAGAAATGCTCACTGTGGCAGAAGACAGCAAAAGCAACAAGAACAAAAAAGGAGAAAAAAAGCTTCTTTCTGACCCTTTATCTTATCCAGACTGCTGGAATTAGGGCCGTGCCAATCCAGTCATTGGAGTGATTTTGCAAACACCCACCCTTAATCCCAGCACCCTTAATTCCAGCATTAGATCATAAATTAATCACAAACTCTAGATTCAGCTGGCTCTGGGAAGCACCCTCACCATGAACACATGAAGGTTTGGGACAGCATCTAGACACAAACCATTATTTGCTATATTCTGAGGCCATTTAAACATATACAGGTTATGTGATTTTTTAAAAGTTTGGTTGAATTTCCCTGAGCAAGTCTCTGGGACTTTTTCTGCATTTTTGTCATTTTTTGACAGTTTTCTCTATTTAATCTATGCAAATTAGTTGGTTTAAGCATTCTGTCTGTATAAGCATCAGGCATCAAATGTATTTGGTAAATACATTTCCTAAGAAAATACATTTTCACCTGGGCTTATAAAGAAAAGCGAATATTGGCAAAGCAAGTTTGTTTTAGCTCATACAAACGTTTTCGTAATTCATTTTCCCACAGTGGCTGCTAAAACCAGCACAATGACTAGAAATGGATGCCAAGGAGTTATTAAAGACACAGACACAGAAAGAAACGTAAAATATATCCACAGGAAATACTTGCCCAGATTTACCTTCCACTATTGTTCACAAGTCTCACAATTCTACCAGAAGGTAGAAGACCTATGCAAAATAAAAAACAAACCCAAGACATTTTTATACACCTGCATTAGTAGAAGACATCATTTTCCTCTTTATCAAAGAGTGCAACCACTTTTCTTATTACTATTAATATTATTACTACATTACTAGTTGTATCATAAATAAGCTGCTACAGCTTACATCTGGAAAGTCTCCCCATGTGATGGATCTTGCTACTGAGCTTGGCATTATGGAGAAGTTATAGAAGTGTTAAGAGAATGAATTTAGTGTGATGTGTTCATATCACTGGGCTGTACCCCTGAAGGACAAATTGGGAACTGGGGCCCTTTCTTTTCATTTGCTTCCTGGTTATGAGATGATCAGCTTTGCTCTGTCATATGTTCCTGTCACAGGGTGCTGTCCTGCCATAGAACCCACCCCAAAGAAACAATAGGGCCAATCAATCACAGACTGGAATCCTCAAAACTGTGAGGCAATATAAACCTTTTTGTGGGAAGCCGCCTATGATGGCGCCCATTTCCTGCTTCCGGGTTCTTCCCGGCCTGAACAAGCCCGCCAAATTGTCATGTCTGCCCAGTTACCCGTGACGCTAGCCTATCAGCTTGTTAGACGCGCTTCTCTGTGATTGGATACTGCTTCCCCTTATAAGAGGTTGTTCCTGCCCCCAACGGGCAGAAGAGGATCCAACGTTGAGGGTGGCGGACCTTGTTAGGTCCGGTTCGCTGTACGCAATAAACTTTGAGAGCTGATCCTGCTCGAGTCTGGCCTCCTGTCTCCCGCGGCTCCGGTCATCTGGTGGCCCGTACGGGGAAAAAGGTAAAAGACTCAGCGACGTGCCTCTTCGGCCGGGAGGTGCGATTGCTGTCGCCTGCGGTACGACGGAGGACCTGGCCCAATAACAACGGAAGGCCCCGAGCGCCTCTTCTCTTCACCCTGATCAGCTACGTGAGATACAGCGGTTCCCGGGACAGGTGAGTACTGGATCGCCTGGGTTGGGTGGACGCACCTAACAGATTTTGAGTGCCACACGGGTGGACGCTGGTCTTTTTTTTTTTTTTTTCTTTGCATTTGTTTCGCTTTCGTTTCGCCATTGTGGGCAACGCTGCTCGCAAACCCCTCGCTGACTCCCTAAGAGTCCTGCTGCGGACCCGAGGCATCTACATAAACCGGGTCACCCTTTCGAGATTTCTGGATCGTGTTAATGAAATTGCCCCCTGGTTTTGGCCCACGGGCTCTCTAACCCTCCCGTCATGGGAGAAGTTAGGAGGGGATCTTAGATGCGCCCGAGAAGAGGGACGCTTGGATCCCATGGTTTTACCCCTGTGGGAACTGATTAGGGCTTGTCTGACGGATGAACGAACCCCCGGGCTTTGCTCAGCCCGACCGGCTCTTGACAAAGCTCGATCCGAGTGCTCGGAGGAGCCCGAAGTCACACCTGACTTTGGGCCTCCAGAGAAACACAAGGGCTCCGATTCTGATTCGGATTCGGAAGGCTCAGAAGAGGAGGTCGTCTTTGCTAAGCATGACCCTCCTACACCGTTAAAAGAGGAACTTAGGGCTCGGGAAGATAAAAAGGGGAACCAAACACCACCCTACCAGAGCTACTCCGCTTTGCGGGAGGAACTTAGGTCCTTCCGCTCCTTGGCAAGTTTGCGACCCACGATCGCCCCCTTCAGGGCGCCAGGCCCTACTGCACCGCCGTGGCCGGAAGAGGAGTTGCTCCCTGGGCTGCCACCTCCACCCGTGGCCGCCAGAGGGCGCCCACAACCTATGGCACCGCCCTGGTTAGAGGGAGAGCTACTTCCTGGGTTGCCTTCTGCGCCCCCATCTGGGGAGGGAGGAGGACATTCCTTCCACCAGAGGGTATGGTCGCGGCTTCCCTTTGAGTGTTCCAGTCTCCATGCATTCCCGGTACAAGTAGGAGGCAAGGGGAGGAGGAGGATATTATTTCTAAGGAAATTAAACAACTTAAAGCTATCAAGGACGCAGTTTCAGCTTATGGGCCCAATGCGCCATTTACCATGGCACTTTTAGAGGCATTGGCAGGTCTGTGTGATCTCTTCACCTCAACAATCTATTGGTGTTAACCCGAGAGGACTGCGCCCCAATCATATTTGGCAAACACACATCCCAGAATTCGGAAAAATATGTACATGTTTCGGTTGACACCGCTTCTCAGGTTATGTTTGCTTCGGCAGAACCTGGAGAAAGGGCCACCCATGCTATTAATCATTGTCTTGCAGCCTGGGCTGCTTGGGGAAAGCCCAATATACTAAAAACAGACAATGGTCCTGCCTATACCAGCAAAATTTTTATGACATTTTGTCAACAAATGGAGGTCACTCTTAAACATGGCATTCCTTACAACCCCCAAGGACAAGGCATCATTGAGCGATCCCATCGGACACTCAAGGGTGTCTTACAAAAACAAAAGGAGGGAATAGGCCATGGCCTAACGCCCAAAGGAAGAATATCATTGGCACTCTTTACCATAAATTTTTTAAACCTTAATCACAATAATCATTCCCCTGCCATGGAGCACAATAACCCGTCCCCGGCAGACAAAGGGCTGGTGAGATGGAAAGATGTCCTTACAGGACAATGGATGGGCCCGGATCCAGTGGTTAGCTGGACCCGAGGTGCGGTTTGTGTCTTCCCACAGGAACCAGGCTGCGAACCGCTGTGGGTCCCGGAAAGATTGACGCGAGCAGTAAACTCCCCACCAGTTCCTGATAAAGCACAGGAGGATAAGCCCGCGGACACAAGTCAACTCGACCCTTCTGGGACCGACGCTCAGTGCCCGAGACCATCTACAAACTAAAATGTCTGGTTTGGAGCCTTTTCTATTCTGTGGGTTCCTATTAATCACCCCTGTTCGCACAAATTTGACCAACACTGTTAAAAATATGACAGCTTGGCTGCAAGACACCTACCTACCTAAGTTTCACAATTTGTCCCTCATAGTCGGTCAGGAACTTGACAATATGGACGGTATCCAACTAGGTCCAGTCAGGTTCGATTTATCAACTTTAGGCAGTGTTATAGCCAGTTTGTGGGAACGCGTCACCTCCTGGTTCTCCTGGCCCAACCTGACTACTTGGATCCTGATTGCCGTGGCCATCCTAGTGGGGCTTGTGGTTATTAAATGCTTGTTAGATCGCCTCATACAAACTCAGCTGCAGGTTAAGATCACAGCCATGGCAGCCATGCAAATGGCAGCAGGTGGCCCATCAGGCCAGCAGGCCGCCGCATATCTCCTTCACATTGCAGAACATCAGCTATAAGAGCTGAGTGGGCAAGCCAATGACGGGTAAGACGGGAAAAGCCCTCCCGGTCAACCTAAGACAGGCTCCACTCAGATATATATGTCCTTTAAGGCCAGGGGTCCCTCCCGGAGTCAAATTATTGGCATTGAGATGCGAGACCAAGGGTACTGCAGTGCCATCCGCCCCAAAGGTTGGGGGGAAGGCAGGAATGAATGTCTATATGCATCCAGGTTCGGTTCACAAAAGCCTGGCCCTGCGAAAAAATGAACCACTCACCTTGAGCATGGTCCTGGCACAAGGATATGCACAAAACAGGGTGATGCACAGCAGGGTATAGACCTCTACATTCTCTCATGCCTCGGCCTACAAGGTAGGTCCACTCCTAGGTGTCTAACAGCAACAAGGTCATAGACACCTTGGAGGGACCCACAGACCATCCTATTTTAATAAATAAAAAAGGAGGAGATGTGGGAAGCCGCCTATGATGGCGCCCATTTCCTGCTTCCGGGTTCTTCCCGGCCTGAACAAGCCCGCCAAATTGTCATGTCTGCCCAGTTACCCGTGACGCTAGCCTATCAGCTTGTTAGACACGCTTCTCTGTGATTGGATACTGCTTCCCCTTATAAGAGGTTGTTCCTGCCCCCAACGGGCAGAAGAGGATCCAACGTTGAGGGTGGCGGACCTTGTTAGGTCCGGTTCGCTGTACGCAATAAACTTTGAGAGCTGATCCTGCTCGAGTCTGGCCTCCTGTCTCCCGCGGCTCCAGTCACCTTTTCTCCTTATAAGTTGATTGTCCCAGGTTTTAGTATAGTCACAGAAAGCTGATTAATACATATTCAATAATACAAAGCACAGATGGTGGTGGCTATATTATCTCAATACTTGAGAGAAAGTTTGATCACAGGAAAAAGTTCATTTTGTCTCCAAAGTCTGCAGTCTCTATTCACTCTAAATGTATTCATGAAAAAAATCTTCAGGGGAATCTGGTGTCTACAAATGCCTCTGACATACTGAGTCATGGGTCAAAATGTATCATTTCTTCATATGTATACTTGAAGAAAAATGATATAATAAAGCAAAAACAGTATAGTTGGTGTAAAACAAATACTCAAACCAACCAGTGGAATGCTATTTGCTCTACTGTACCAAGATAGGTGTCTTGGTTCTCCAAGTCGCCCCTTTGTTAGACACCTCAGATCAGAGACCTCGGGTAATGAGTGAGACCCTCTGCTCTAGACATCAAGCAGTAGGGAGCAGCAGAGAGAGATAAATACTGAGGTTCTCTCTCCTGCCTCCTTTAGAAGCCATTTCTAGAATTGCTTTGCCCTGATCATCCAAATACTCTTATTCAGGAATCACTTCATTAAGGATGGAGGTAATAGAGTGTTGGGCGCAGGCGCTCAACATACCATACCCCACCCGGGACTAAGGACCACGCCAGCTTCCGCAATGCGCTACATCCCTCTTTAAATTAGCCAACCCGTGCGCACCCCGTGCTCACTCCGTGCTCTGTGGCAACTCCTGATTGGCCACAGCTGGATATAGTAGCCAGAGCCTGCGTCCCATTCCCGCCCTGCTTCCTCATGGCAGCCTGTGATTGGTCACGGCCAAATATATAAACCAGAGCCTGCGTAAATAAAGCAGCAGATAACTGTCGCCCACAAGAGCGTCTCCTGTTTCATTGGGGCTGCGCCGGTCAACTGGTGGCCCATACGGGGAACGCTGAGACCCTTTCTCCAACAGTACGGGGAGCGCTGAGACCCTCTCTGCGACAGTACGGGGAACCTCTCTCTCCGATGGAACAGAGCGTCAACAGGTAAAACCGTCAAGCGCCGATAGCAGGGGCTACGCAGCGGGCGGGGGCTGACAGGTTAAACTGTTCAACAGGCAGCGGGTGCTGCCAGGCCGGATGGCGGGGGCTATCGGGCAACCTTGGACGGACGCGTCGCAAGGATTGAGGAGCTCGTAAAGAGAGTTCCGGGAGCCGTAAAAAGGCAGGATTGAGGAATTTGTAAAGAGAGTTCCGGGGGCCGTAAAGAGGCCGGTTTTGTGGGCGCCGTAAAGGGGCGGGGGGACTAAGCTGTCCCTGTTACAAAAAAAAAAAAAAAAAAAAAGAAAGAAAAAGAAAAAGAAAAAGGAAACAAAAAGAAATAAAAAGAAACTCTTGAAATTCCGATTAACATGGGTAACACTGCTACTCAGCCGCTGTCAGTCGCTTTGGGCCACTTACTGAGAGAAAAGGGATTAAAAATGAAACAAAAACAAATTCAAAACTTCCTCGATCAGGTCGATAAGGTAGCACCTTGGTTTGGTCCCATGGGGTCCGTTACCATTCCCAGCTGGGATAAATTAGGGAGAGATCTTGACTTTGCAGTAGAAAAGGGCCTCCTGGAGCCAGGAGTCAGACCCCTTTGGGCAGTAGTGAGGAGCTGCCTCACAGACGCCTCTTGTCGTGACCATATAAGGGCTGGCGCCATGGCGCTTGGTTACCATCAGGCAGAATCCTCCCGCGAGCAATCTCGCGAGCCCAGTGCCGCAGGCGAGGCAACCGCACCCAACCCAGAAACAGAGGACTTGTCAGATAATGAGGGGGAGGAAGAAGAAGTATACAAAATGGCGGATGCAGACACCACCGAAAGAGGGGAAGTCACACACACGCAGTCGAGAGGGCCCTACTCTGAGGCCATAAATGAGCTGCAACGCAGGATTTCTCAGAGTAAATGGGTCCCCTCAGCCGGTCCACGCACTTAGTCCCCATCTCCCCATCCTTTTTTGCCTCTCGGTGTGGACACAATCTTCCCTGCATCCCAGATGCTAACTCCACCGCAAGTCGCTGGTATAACACCTCCTTTTCCCTCAATAGCACTCTTTGCTTCAGTCCCTCTGCATTATCAGGATGCATTCCCCTAAAAACTACCAACCTCTCCTCTTGGATTGACCCCTTGCAGGGTGCCCAAGTCGAGCCCACCGCGATTAAGGGCGCGCCAGCTCGGAGGCCCCGGGGATCCTTCTGCACCCCTATCTGGGCAAGGGTCCTCCAGTTTACCGCTTGTGACCCCCTGGATGGATACTCCCAGGAGATATTATGGGGATTCTCCCTGGCCACCATAAACACCACAAATATGACTTTTCCAAATTGCTCCACCGCAACCTGTTATATGTTACAATGTTGGGATAACAGTACACTTTCAGCTGTCGTTATGCAGGTACTCCAGTTCGTACCGATTCCAGTTATGACGGACCCAGACGAGTTTCCTGTGATCCAGCTCGGGCCAACTCTCCAATTGGCTTTCATAAAGGAATGGGCAGGAATAGGGGCTCTGGCTACCATGGCTACACTTACCGCATTCGGCAGTCTACTTCTGCTCTCTCGGATTCGCAGACAAAGGAATAGGGACAAAGTATCAAACAAGCATTGCTGATCATGGAATCTGGTCAAAGCCCGGCAGCATGGCTTGCCATGCTGTGACGCAGGTGTGGAGCAAAGCATCGCAGGGGGTGTCGTCCTTGGCCAGGAGACACCCCGGTCTCCAAGTCAATGAGCATGCGGGTTGGGCTCATAAAACAACACTCCCGCCCCCTCCAAAAGAGCACCAACGGGTAGTGAGGTACCGTCATGACTGCGCAGCATGACACCTCATGAGGGGCACCGACCTCTGGAGACCCTGCATCAGTTATAAAGAAAGGGGGAGATGTTGGGCGCAGGCGCTCAACATACCATACCCCACCCGGGACTAAGGACCACGCCAGCTTCCGCAATGTGCTACATCCCTCTTTAAATTAGCCAACCCGTGCGCACCCCGTGCTCACTCCGTGCTCTGTGGCAACTCCTGATTGGCCACAGCTGGATATAGTAGCCAGAGCCTGCGTCCCATTCCCGCCCTGCTTCCTCATGGCAGCCTGTGATTGGTCACGGCCAAATATATAAACCAGAGCCCGCGTAAATAAAGCAGCAGTTAACTGTCGCCCACAAGAGCGTCTCCTGTTTCATTGGGGCTGCGCCGGTCAATAGAGTTTGAGTTTAAAGACTGCTTCAACTTTTTCCTTCCCCTTCTGGCCTCTGCCAGTGTCATTGTGTTTTAATGAAGGTTCTAATTTGCCTTTCTGAGCAACAGCACAGCATTCCCTTGGAATCAGCTCAACTTTTAGTGACATCCAGAACATACTGATGGCTTCCTTTGAAACCCAGACCAATTTATAATCCCAGGCTTGCAGGTATTTTGTTCCAGTCTTGGGTGTGGGCTAGAGAAGCCCAAGGAAAACACACACACACACACACACACACACACCTAAGCATCTTTTCAAGGAATGTTGCATTCTGAGTAAAACCATATCTTGGCTTAGTTTTTAATTGTTAGTTTAGCTTGTAATATGCTCTGGGGAAGAATCTGAGTTCAAAATTTAAGTCAAATTTAAAATCTCTGTAAGACATATATGTTTTATTTTCCTCTAAAAGGAAAGGATGAAAGGAACACACGTCAGCAGTTCATCTTGGTTATTCTCTTTATAAACTTGCATATGATACAGTTCATACAGAGGCATATGTGAAATATTTTGTTATTCAAGGATAAGAGCAATATAAAGTTAAGGTTTGTAACATGTATTAAAGGATAAGAAATAACTATTTCTTATTATTGCTCAGAAAAAGGGTAAAATTCAATAGAACATCAATGAGAAAAGTAATTTTAATAAAGCTCTGTAAGAAACAGTTGTGTCTGGCAGACAAAAATTAGTAAACATTTAAAAGACTTAGACAACTTAATTAAAAAGCCTCATATTTTATGATTTTTCAACGTACCAAGTCAAAACTTATAATAATGAATGTAACACATTTTACAATGCAGCTGTCCAGAGTCAATGAATTCTTTTAACAGTTATATGGGACGCAAAGATGCACATTTTATCACAAAGTGCTATTAACAATGCAAGTAAATGAGAAGTCACAACAAAAAATGGGGAAAATTGAATACATTTGTAAAAATGAACACACTCCCAAATAATCTGTGCATTGAACCATGAAATACTTAACACATACATATCAAGATGTTTGATAATCAGCTCAAAAGGCAGTTAAGGCAAGCTTATACTTTCAAATGGATTTACTAAAAGAAAAGAACACATTGTGGTGTCATCAGACTCCAACTTGCTTAAATTTGTGCTATTTCTTTAGATGTTCTAGCAAAACGGCTAAGAGCATGCATCTCCTCATACAGAACTTATCCTTAACAGTAGCAGTTTCTGAACTTTTTCCTATTTATTAAGACTATATGATGACATTGCTATTTAAGAGAATAAAATTCTGTTCTTTTAAAGAATCCTGCCTTTATTAATTTTAAATTAAATTTTAATTGGATACAAAGATCATAAATAAGGGTCATATTTTTTCTTGTCATAAGAAATCATTTAATACTTTCTAGTATACTAGTGTGTTGATTATTTTTTCCTCTTCTAGATAGTTATGTATTTTCACCATTATAATTTCCAAAAGGTGCCGTTAAAAATCAAGATTATTTGAGGTTTCAGGTATCACAGAGTTTCTTTTTATTATTCCTATCTTCAAGTTTTCTGAAATAAAATTAAGAAAAATATATAACATCTAGAAATAATACATTATTAATTCATACAGATAAATTTATGATTTCTTGATATCATTTCCTCTTGGGTCCTTTTGGATAACATCATATTATCCCTTTGAGAAGATAACTTTGCACTGATAAAAGTATTATTCTTAAGATGTATCAATAGGTGATGTCAGTTGCAATACTAACTGATACAGAGTTAAAACTATTGAAAATGTATTCCCATCCATGAGCTTCCTGGGAGATGTGTATAGTCAGATTACATTACAACTATAGAACTGTTGTAGATAACACACAAATATTTTAAAACACAATTTCTGTTTATGATTTAAAACATAAATACATAAATGACTGAAGGTAGCTTACAGTGAAAACACATACAATCATCTTTCAATATTATATATGAAAGTCAGAGATTAAAAATATACAATTCAAAGAACTGAAGACATTTTGCTGTTGGTATAAAATAATATGGGTACTATATTCCTTTGAGTTTCTTGTAAGACAATTGTAAGAAAACCCACAAAGGGCCAAGAGAATCATGACAGACATAAATATGGAAAGAACATAAATTTCTAGCCACAAGTTCTAAGAGAAAGTTGTCACATGTATCTTACATAACGGAGAAACACAAAACCTTAACAGTTTAGAATAAAATGCAAAAATGCTGTGTATAACATTTAATAAAGGACATAGCCTTCAACGAGAATTCAGGGAAGACCATTTTTATGGGAAGGCTCTATCCTATTCCCTCTCCTCCACAGCCTCCAATGAGACTCCTAATGCTTAGTAACAGTAACACAGTGACGCACACACACACATAAAAAGCCAATGTTAGTAATGCCAAAATATTTTGTCATTTCTAAAAGATTGTTATATTTATTATAGATACAGAATATGTTCCAATAAAGAGTATTTATTTAAATTGAAGATCTAGGTAAATTTAAAAAACTAAAAAGGTTCATTAGAAAGAAGACCTTATAATTTTTGTTTCATTAAATTATTATGAAACTATCAGCTAGGTTATTACAGATGAAATTCTTTTTTTTTTTTTTTTTTTTTGTGTGTGTCTTTTTCGTTTTTATCGGTACAGGGATTGAACTCACAACTGCCTGCTTGCAAGGCAGGCGCTTATGCTGCTGAGCTAAATCCCCAGCCCCTACAGATGAAATTCTTTTGTAACTTAATAAGACTATAGTATAGAAAATTATCTTTTATTTAAAAATTTTGTGTAAAAATAATTTAAAAGGTTAAGGAGCAAATTTTACATAAAAGCTTTTAGAAAGACTTACAGGAATGAAAATAAATAAAAGTCAAAGTATCTGCAGAACAGCAGGATTTAAAATATAAGATTAACATAATGATAGCTGTCTATATACTCATATTAAGTATTAATTATTCATATTAAATTTATACTTACCACTTTAACTTTTAAAATTATACTGTAGTCTCTTAATTATGCTTAAGAAAGTTGAGAAAGTTTTATTTTTCCATAGAATGAGTCCAATAATTTTTAAAGAAGCTGTTAATTTATGAAACTCCTAGTAAAAAAAATCCTGTTAGGAATTTTAAAAAGCAAATAAATATACTCATACTTGATGCATTACTAAATTTCTGCTGATTTCTATTTTACATGCTATAAAGTCTTTTTTAAAAGCCCTCATAATATGAGTGATTATGTGAATGTTTTTAAACTGTCATGATTTCACAAAGGCAAGTTTATATGTTTTCTGGCAAAAACTATAAAAGGTAAGAAATGAATATCATTATGATAGCCCTGAGATACAAAATGGAATAGACCTGTTTCCTTTTACATCAGCTGCTGCTGTGATTTATGTATTTCAACAATGTTAATTTTTGTAGAAGGATTCACAACAGTTACATTTTCATTATTTCAAGCTCTTCCTTGTTTTAGCTGATACATACATTTGTTCTTGAACTCCAGCTTACCTGACAGCTGATGCAGCACTGGTCAACCTCACACTATGTCACGCCCTCTTTTAAAGAGTGTAATAAGATACACAGACATAGAGAAGAGGTGGAGTGGGGGTGCAGGCATGGATGATGGGAGGATACATGTGTGCATTTTTCCTTTCAAATGATGAAGGATTAAAGAAACCACTTCCTTCATTGGGTGAAGACACTAAGGTTAGAAATGCTGATAGTATTTCAAGAGTGGAAGAAGCCTTAAAGATCATTTAATTTAAATGCTTCATTGAACAGATGAAGAAGCTCAGAGAAGCATTGGGTCTTGCCAATATCAGATATACTATACACATCTAGTTCATTCTGCCTAAACTCTTGGTGTTCTGATTCTGAATTTTTGTTTCTTATATTCTGTCAAGAAGCTGCTATGATCTGGATAATCTGGCCCCCACCCCCGACAAGCCTCATGGGTTAAACACTTGGTCCCCAGCCTGTGATGCTGTTAGGAGGTGGTACAATCTTTCAGAGGTGAGGGTGGAGGGAGGAAGTTAGGTCACTGGGAGATGTGCCCTGGAAGGGGATTGTATTCACTTTCCTGCGGCTGGAACATCATTCTAACACTCGTAATTCAAAGAAGAAGTTGAATTTGGCTCATGGTTTCAGGATACTCAGTCCATGAGATGCTGGCTTCAAGGTGGAAACCCCAGGGCAGAAGGGCTTTGTGGAGGTGCTCAGTTCACGGTGACCGAGAAGAGGAGCAAGGGAACAGCACAGGAAAGGAAGGGTCAGGGGCCACACATGATGCCAAGCTCATCCCTCCTGACTCACTTACACGCAGACACGGGAGTGTGCTTTACTAAGGGCCTTCAAGCCAGCCAGGCTGACAGTGACACTGAGCCGTCACAGCGATGTTTTGACCTCCCTCTTCGGTTCATTCTCACCTGACTGCCGTGATAAGAGCAGCTCCTTGGCCACTTCTGCAGCTCTGACGCTCTGCTTTATCACAGGCCCAAAGCAACGGGAGTCAAAGGTGTAAACCCTCTGAGCCACTAAATTGATGGTCTCTTAGGTATTTTATCATTGTGGCAGAAAACAAACTAACATAGATCTAAGCACTTATCAATGGTATTGTTTTTAAAATAATGCAGATTTTAAGAATGACTAACAAACAACACTGAAATTTTTTTCATCTAGTTAAAAGTGGTCTAAATCAAAATATCAATCCATTTAAATTACATAATAATTATTTGAAATATTCTCTATGTTTACAATTTATGGCATAATTCATTATTTTGTTTAGAATTTTAAATGTTACATGAAAATAGTGAAATTATTGTGATATTCAAAAATGCTTTGAGCCTAATTATTTGCCTTGTACATATGCAAAGGTAAGGCGAAGTTTACATAGGCTGAATTTTTCTTACCAAAATAGATAACTGGATCTTTAAAGACATTTGCTAAATTTATAAACACAACTTACAACATACAGTTCTGTCATAGAAGAATGGCATCTAAATAATCATATTTTATCACCTTTCTCACCATACTATACCTTCTTTACATAATATTTGACAAGTTCATGAAACATATTACCAAAATTACACTTCAAAAATCTTACTTTTAAGAATTGTTCTCGTTGGGGTAATGATGAATGTATACCCACATGCTGGAAAAGAGAAGGTCTATAGTTTATACGCACTTGTGTCTTTCGTTTTAGACATTGTTCCTGGGGAAAAAGAGAAACAATAATCCTCTGTAAAAACTCAAATTTTTCTTTCTATTGCATTTACCAATAGAAAGGTTTTTGCTGTGTTTTTTTTTTTTGTTAAGAGTTCTGTGTTAATATTTGAAAATTTAAACAAAAATATTTAAATCTTCCTCTTTTTCCTAAGAATAAGAGAGCAAAAGAGTTGGGGTAAGAGGGATTTTATCTAAAGTCATGTTTGTGTAAACTCTACCTTTTAAAAATAGGCTACAGCTACAATTTCTCTCTCTTCTCTCTTTATTCCAATAATTTAAGTAGATCTTTAGTATTTTCTTTCTGTTTATTTCTGTCACACGGCATTTTTCTATCTTTCTCTCCCTATATTCATTGATGAATTCTGTATTGAGTTACATCTTTCTTGGTATCTTCCTAAATAATAAACGTATATGATTTAAGTCAAAAGTTTGTATTTCATTTACTCGATACAATTGGATAATCTCCATTAAAAATAAAAATAACAAGATGATTTGTGGCATTGCTCCTATAAAAAACAAACATTCGTGACTGGAAGGTAGCTCAATGGTAGACTATCTGTCTCCTATGTGCAAGACTCTGGCTTCAAATCCAGCACCACAAAAACAAAAAAAAATATTTGAAGTGATTATGATCACTATCTGAAATTTATTTTATACACTCTGTGTAAATTAAATCTTGAAAAACAAATTTCACATTTATATACACAAAAATATTTTGAACAGCATTTGTACCCAATACTGGTAGGTAAAATATTATACCAAGAAATTATTTTTATAACTGTAATTTAATGATTTAGATTTAATTGAGCTTGAACTAAATTAACACCAAACAAAATTAGTGGAGCAGCTAAACTTTAATTTAACAATATTTGCTAAGCTATTGATAAAAATGGTAGTGGAAGAGTATTATCAAATTTTGGGACACCCTCCCCCACCATACTCTCAAAATAGTGTGTAAAGTAGAGCTGGATTCATTTCCTATAGCAATGAGTGGTAACAACTGGATGGAATCATGGAAGCATTTGTTCAAATCTTTTGCCTGTTTTTTAATTGGATTCTTTGCTTACCTATTGTTGAGTTTTCAGTGTTCTATGTAATTTTTCAACGTGAGTCTTTCACTGATTATAGAATTTACAAATATTTTCTCCTAGTCTGTGGTATCTTGTCATCCTCTTAACAGTATCTCTTGTAGCATGAACGTTCTTCATTTTGATTAAATCCTTGCTATTCCTAGCTCTCTTGGATTGTTGAGATTTCTTTTTTTATGAATAGACGTTGAATTTTGTCAAATGTTTATTGTTTCAATTGGTATTGATATGTAATTCTTCTTCCTTGCAATCTTAAATTGATGAACAACATTTGATAGTTTTTCAAATACTAACCAGTGTTGCATCCATTAAACACCAACTGGTATGTATGCACAGCATTCTTTTTATATATTGCCACACTCAGCCCGCTGGTCTTTTGGTTGAGGAATTTTAAAAATTTTACAAATTTCTTTTTTCAAGAGAAATACTTATTTATGGAGTGGTCTTTTGCACTGCCTTTGGTTTGTCAAGGTAGTACTGTCCTTTTAAAATACATTGGGATGTACCTCTTCTGTTATTTTTCTAAGAGTTTTATATATATATATATATGTATATATATATGTATATAGTTTTCTAAGAGTTATATATATTGAGTTATATATATTTTTCTAAGAGTTATTATATACAATTTGTGTTGTCTGTTCTGTAAGTGTTTACATTGAATTTACATTTGACATTATCTGCATATGGAAGTTTCTTTCTCTGAAAGTTTTAAATTATTAATTCAATTTATCTAGTACATATAGAACTATTTATTTATTTTTATCAAAATACTAACATCATTTTTAATAAAAATTAACATTTTGATTTTTACATTTCTGTAGGAATACAAAACACTCAAAACAGGCTAAACAACTTTGATAAAGGAACGAAATTAAGGCTCTAACTCTCCCCAGCCCCATGATTTATCACAAATAAAGAACTGTTTAAATGACAGATTTCATCTTGAGTGAATTCTGATAGTTTGTAACTTTTGATAAATGGTCTGTTGAATTTTTAAGTGGATCAATTTACATAATTGTAATATTCACTTATCCTTTTAATGTTTGTATAGTGTGTCATAATAGTTTCTCTTTAAATCTAGTATTTATAGTTTGTGTCTTTTTGTCAGTTTAATTAATAGTTTATCAGTTGTGGGGGATGAGGTGTCACTTTGTAGGCCCAACCCCCTCTAACCTGCAATTTACAATAGCCGCCCTGGTATGCGAGAAGGAGGTAGAATAGGAATGCCTGTTCTCAGTGAGACCCCTCACCCTCTGGAATCCATACTGTGAGCTGGCTTTGTTTTGCAGAAGTCTTGAGGAAGTGGCTGGCCACCCTTTGTGACACTAACAGCAGACAAATTAACAACATTCTTGAGCTAATGAATTTCTTCCTGGGCTAGAGAAGTTATGAGAACTGGTTGTGATTATTTACTTCACTTAGATAGTTTTAGAATAAACATTGTAGTCTGTCACGTTGTAGCTTGCCACAAAGAATGCCTTTTCACTACTTAATTATCTGGGCTCTGTGAACTGATCGGGTTTACTATATATGAATCCTAAAATAAAGATTGTGCTTGCAGTGCAGTGTAACGCGGTGCAGACAGTAAAAGTGCCGTGTCCTGTCTTCCTTTCCGAGCACTGTACCCCCCGTGTCCCGATCAGGCGTGTGTGCGTGTTTACCTTTCCCGGAGTTCAGAGTGCTCTAAGACACTCACGACAAGTGGCGCCCGAATTCAGGGACTCCGAAGGTCGCTTAGGAAGGTAAGTATAATTTTATTACGGGGAAATGGGACAATCTGCTTCCTCTCCTTTCTTAAAAATTCTTAAACATTTATTATCTATATATGGCATATCGCTCAGGTCAGCTGACTTGGATATGTGTATTGATACAATTAAAGAATATAATCCTTGGTTTCCAGATGAAGGAACTTTGGATGTAGAAGTATGGAGGAAGGCAAGGGTTAGTATAGAAAGGGCTATGCAACAGGAGGAAAAGATTCCTTTACGTTTTTGGGCTATTTGGTCGGTTGTGTACTCTTTATTAAAAGCTATGGAAGATGAACATATTGTAGAAAATCTTCAACTAGAAATTAAGCCAGTTATTCAGGAATTGCCCCTCACAGAGGAGGAGCAGAATGTAGTTCAAAATGACGCTATCGCTTTAAGTAGTGAAAAGGCGTCCAAACTGAAAGTAAAATCCGCTACAGCCGACTCAGCTTTAGCTGCCGCAGCAATATCAAATTATGACAATCGCCCAATTTTACAGGCTATACAGCATTTAACACAAGAGGTGAAACAACTCTCTGTTAAGCAGAACCCGCCTATAGCTCCCTCTGCACCTCCTCCATCTAACCCTAATTGGAGTAAAGCCAAGCTAGCTTTGGCTGATCTACCAAAATTAGGGGATTCTGATGAGGAAAAGCCTGCCTTTGCTTTCCCTGTAATCAGGCCGCAGCCAATAGATGGAGAGGCAGTTCCCCCTAGATGGGAAGCATTTAATATGGATGATTTAGCAAAATTAAAAAAGGCTGTAACCCTTTATGGCCCTCAGGCTCATTACACTAGAGAATTAATAACATCGGTAGCAGATCAGTATGGTAATCTTGCTCCTTATGATTGGAAAGCCTTGGCCAAAATTCTTTTAAAGGAGCCAGAATATTTACAGTGGCACATGTGGTTTATGGAAGGTTGTGCGGAAAAGGCAAGACAAAATGCTGACGATCGAGATCCTAATATTAGACTCATTTCTTATCCCATGCTCTCTGGTACAGGTTTCTTTGATACTGTTGAGCATCAGGCAGGAGCTCCAAGAGAGATTCATGCTCAATTAAAAGATATTGCTTTAAAAGCTTGGGATAAAATACGGCCTAAAGGATCAGAATATGGATCTTGGGCTAAAGTTCTGCAAGGAGCCAATGAACCGTATGTTGAGTTCGTTGCAAGACTTCAAAATGTTATAGAAAAAACAGTAGTGGGACAAGACTTACAAGAGCATCTCTTAAAAATGTTAGCTTTTGAAAATGCTAATGATGAATGCAAAAGGGCTTTAATTCCAATAAAAGATACTGGAACGATTGACAATTTTATAAAACAATGTAAAGATTTAAATTCAGAATCTAGGAAAATGCAACTGTTTGCTGAAACCATGGCAACCACGTGGACTAATTGGCAATCTAAAAAGGAACAGTCTTTAAAATGCTTTAATTGTGGTCAGACAGGACATGTAAAGAGGGCCTGTCCAAAACTTGTAGGCAATGATCAAAAAAAGAGATCTAGAGCTCCTGGCTTATGTCCAAAATGCAAGAAGGGAAATCATTGGGCTCGTGAATTCAGGAGTAAACAAGTTAATTCAGCTGAACAGAAGGGAAACGGGAGAGCGGGCCCTACCCCGGGCCCCGGACAAATCAATGGGGTAAATCTACCGTATTCTCCCTACAGCCAGCCACCCAACACAGTGCCGCAGTGGACATACCAGCCTTAAAAGATGTAGAATTAAGAGGAGGACAATCTCCCGTGAGAATTCCTACAGGAATTTTTGGTCCCCTGCCTGCGGGAACTTTTGGCTTGCTCACGGGTAGATCTAGTTTAAATCAAAAAGGCATTACTGTTCACTTAGGAATTATAGATGCAGATTATACTGGAGAAATTCAAATTCTGATGTCCTCACTTACAGACTATAAATTATTAAAGGGAGAACGTATAGCTCAACTCATTTTACTGCCTTATATCCCAATAGGATCCTCTGTTGTTCAGCGAACAGGAGGGTTCGGCAGCACTAACCCTATTAATGTAATGTGGACAGCTAAATTATCTCAACAACAACCTCTTATTAATATTTTTATTGAGCATAAGAAAATTCAGGCTCTTATAGATACAGGCTCGGATATTACTATTGTTAAACCCACTGATTGGCC